ATATTATTTGGACTTATGATGAAAAAAGTAGATATAAACATTAAGAGAGTGTTAGTTGAATGAATGAATGAATGAATGAATGAATGAAGAGTGCTTTCCATATCAGTTAACATTAGGTTTGACTGGGAGTGACAGAAAACCCAAGATAGCAGAATCTTCAATAAAAGTCTTTATATTTCCAGCAACTGAAGTATCTCTTGTTGGTGTTCAATGTCTCGCTCACATAGAAATAAGAAGTTGGGCAGCCCAAAGCCCGTGAGGTAGCTCCATGATCTCAGGACCCAGTCTCCTTCTAGATCCTCAACACAATGCTTCTATATCATGGTCCAAAATGGCTGACCCAGCTCCAGCCATTGGGTCCCCATTCCAATCAGCAAGGAAAAGGAAAGGCAAGGAAAAGAACATCCTTTTGGGGACACTTCCCAGAAGCAGCACCACCACCTCTGCTTATATGTAATTAGTTAGAACTTGGTCGTGTATAACACAAGGAAAGCTGGGAAACACAGTCTATTTTATGTATCTTGGGCCTTGCTAAAAATTGGTACATCTGAAGAACAGGAGAATAAATATTAAGGGACAATCATCAATTTACTCCACATCTACACTTGGATAACTCATGGGCATTTTGGACTAGATATCACAAATCTGAACTCATCTTTTCTCCAAATGTGATTCTCTAATATTCTCTGGCTCAGCCAATGGAGAACCTTAATCTGGTTCAAGCTGGAAACCTAACGTCATTATTGATACTTTCCTGCTGTCAATCCTTCCTCCAAAATACATCTCAAATTCATCTCTATTCCTACTACCAATACCCACTATCAACCTCCTAACTTGGCTCCCAGTGTCCCTCTCACCTCTTTTCAGATCATTCTCTGCATTGCAGCCAGAATAACTTTCTAAGAAAATATAAAAATCTGAGCATGTCACTCTTCTGCTAAAACCCCTGGAAGGCTGCCTATGGTGCTTAGGATAAAGACCAAAAACCTTTACACGGCTTTCAAAGGCCTAATATGATCTGGCCCTTGCTTCATCTTGTACTGCTTACCTTTTGCTCTCCATGCAGCAGACAAATTTGGCATTCTGCTGGTTCCTCCTCCATACCAGGCTCCTTCCTGACTGCCCATGCCATTTGCTGTTTCTCCACCTCCCTCTTTAACTGTCCAATGCCCACTGACTCCCCCAAGTCTCTTCTTGAACACCACATCATCAGGGAAGACTTCCAGTGTTTGAGACTAGACTTTCACGGCACCCTGTGCTACCTTTGCTTTTCACCCTTTACTTTTTATAGCATTTATCACAATGAGAATTTACATGATGATTTTGTTTATTGACCCTTATTCCCCCTGGGTGATAAGCAAGCTCCTTGAGTCTGGTGACCAGGTACCACTGGTGCTCTGCTGCATCCCAGCATTTAGTGAAGTATCTGCACTTTGCTACTCAGTGTGGCCACAGTCCATAGAGGGGTGTCACTGCAGACCTCAGCCCCTATGCCTGTTTAAACAAGATCCGCAAGCAATTTCTACATACAATCAAGGTTCGGAGGAGCTGGTCTAACATATACTAATCATAGTTGTAGTAATAGTTAATAATACTTACTAGTTATTGATAATGCTCCAGGCATTGTTCTAAGCACATTGCCTGTATTAACTTATGTACCTCTCACAGAAACCCTATGGGATAGAGCATCATTTAACAACTCTGTTTTACAGATGAGGAAACTAAGGCCCACAGGGATTAAGTAACTTGCTTAAGGTCACACATCTAACAGTAGCAGTAGCAGATGCATATTGTACGCCCACTGTGTATAACAGACCAGTTACATTGAGACAACAGGATGTGCAGCACAGAAAGAATCAGATCACAGGGCACCAAGTGAGGGGGCGGAGAGCTGGAGTGAGGAGAAGCCCCTCAGATCTATCTCCCGGTGGAGTGATGGGCTGGAGTTTTTAAGGAGATCATGGAGGTCGAGGGGCTAGAAAACTGGGGTTGTCCATTGGTGGGATACGGGGGATGAAAGTATCAGAATTTGGAAACCGTATTCTTTGGTGAGTCAGCTTCTGATCAGCTACAGTAGGAGACCTGGACGAGGGCCAGCAGGACGGGGTCACAGTGGGGCCCTCAGACCAGCTGGTGTCAATGGGTCCTTCAGAACAGCTGACATTAGTAATTTCACTGGTTTGTGGGACCTGAAAGAATATTCCAAGTGGAAAATGTAATGTTTTATGTTCAAGTTGTTATCTATAGAGCAGTTAAGGGGAACTACAATCTTGTAACAGGTCTATGTGATGCTGAGATAACAGACACCAAACAATTGTGAAGAAGCAGGCCAGAGAACAGGCTGACCTCGTGGTTCATGCTGAATGTGCTGCAAGCTGGGCTTATTTTATTTCTCCCCTTCCCTGCTTCACTGATTAATTTTATAAAGTTTGTAAGGATGGTTTCAGTAGTGTTAGCAATAAAAGAGGAGGAATATGATCCCCAGTACCTAGCACAATAGAAGGTGCATGGTAGGTGCTTAGAGACATTTTAATGAATGCTAATAGGTGGAGATGTGAGATTTGAACCCAGCAAAATGGCTCCAGAGCCCCAGCTCTTAACCACTTAGCGTGTGATGAATATATGTCAAGTGCACCCCAGGGGCCTTCCACTGCATCTAGCACACTATAGACCACTCACATTTGCTGAACGAATATGTGAGTGAATGGTTATGTAGTACAGTCAGTTGTGGGCAGATACCTCTGGAACATAGGAAAGGAGTTTAGTGAAAAGAGTAGTAGGATAGGAAGTAAGTGATTTGGAACAATTGGCCTCAAAGTGATAAGAAACATCCTGAGTTGGGGGACCATAGGCATATAGCCTTCATGTGTTCAAGGCCTCACAGGCCTAAGAGGAAAATGGGACGATATTAATGGTGATAACCAAAACATCACTGGTTCTTGTCTCCATCAATTCCCATAGGCTGGAAGGTCACTGTAAAATACCCCATATCTTTCTGAGGATCCCTATGGTGTGCCTGGCCTGTGCTCGTCAACGTCCTTGCTCCTGCCAGGCACCTACACTCTCTGCTACTTCTCCTGAGGCACCTCAGTCCCTTGGGACAGCCACTGTGATCATGTCCTGCTGGGACCCCCAGGTCTCCTGTTGCAGCTGATGAGTGAAAAGGCTCACTCTGCTGATGCTGTACCTGTTCAGCTGCCAAGAGGAGCAGAACATCCCTGGCCCCTTTGTGTTATGCTGCATTAGGGGGGTACCCAAGCAGGATGGCATGTGGACCAATACATCATAGAGACTTCAAACAGCTCTTCTGTTCTCTACAGGACACAAGCATGCATCCTATGGGGCCTAGGCCACAAGAGAGTCAACATGCTGTACTTGGAATCAACATTAGAGCTAGCTGGCCATGCCTGGATCCCTCTCCCCTCTGACGAATTCCATGTCTAGGGGCCCCTTGTTCCCTACCAAACAGGTTTCCGTAAAGCACTCATTTGCCAAGAAGTTCCAGGTGTTTCTGACCATGAACTTAAGCTCAAGTTTCCCCAAAACCTGCTTTTTTTCCATTGGTAACCCTGCACATAATACTCTGAGATTTTGTTTAGAAAAACAGACTGAAATTTCTTTAGGGCTGTGTGCACGTATTTGGGGCGTGAATGAATGTGCCCATTAGCTCATTCTGCTCTAAACCCTACTACGATTCTCTGGATGTTGTCTGCCACCCGTTCCTACTGACTAGGTACCAGGCACTGAAACCACCATTGCAAAATTATAACTGAGATAGTGAAAGGGATCTGACCTAACTGACTCCATCTTGCTTCTCATCTCCAAGCTGTCTTTGTTCATTCCCAGGCATAGGCCAAACTAACTTTGGGAGAAACTTAGTTTACAGTTTAGCTTTGAAACAAAGACAATACCAGCTCTTTCCCAAGCAAACCCGCTTCTTGCCTGGGGATTAGACTGCCTTTTCGGGACTAACAAATGAGCCACAAAATTATAAATTATGGTTTAGGAGTTATGCAGCTAGAGGCTGCTAGATTCTAAACCTCCTCAAATTGCTCCTGGGGATAATATAAACTATTGTAAAACCTAAGATCATTGCTTAAGATATTTGACAGACACTGCACTCGATGGATCAGCTGGCACCACCCAGATGGATAAAATGGCTCATCTGGTCTTATGGCCCCCACCTAGGAACTGATTCAGCACAAGAGGACAGGCACAGCTTTGACTCCCTGTGATTTCATCTCCTATCCTACCAGTCAGCACTCCTGACTCACTGACCCCTATCCACCAAATTATCCTTTAAAACTCTGATCCGTGAAAGCTAGAGAGACTGATTTGAGTAATAAGACTCCAGTATCCCTCACAGCCAGCTGTGTGTGAATTACTCTTTCTTTATTGCAATTCCCCTGTCTTGATAAATCAACTCTGTTTAGGCAGTGAGCAAGGTGAATCTGTTGGGCCATTACAGAACTTTAACCATGAACCGTATGAGAAAGTGCCATTTCTCCATTTCATAGGTGAGAAAACTGAGGATTAAAAAGGTTGCTCAAATAATTCTCCTAAGGATAAATGTGTAAATCTTCTAACTCACACGTTTATCAATAAACAAAACCGGATTCACAACCACACTGGAGACTTTACATTTTGGGCAAGGATATTAAGCTAATGGGAGTGAGACACCCCCTCTTCAGGAGAAAAAAGGCGAGCAGCAGGCGCTGCTTTAGAGACCAGCACCTTGCTTCCTCCGTCTCCCCGCGCCAGGCATCGGGCATCCCAACCTCGACTTTGGCCTTGAACTTGGCGCGCTCCGGAGCTAGAGCTCTAGGGTGGTGATCGCGGGTCCACGCCCGCCCCCGGTTCCGCCCCCGGTCCCGCCCCCCGGCCTTTGACCCCGCCCCTGGTCCCGCCCCGGGGCCCCTGGCTCCTGGCCCCGCCCCGGCCTAGGCCAGTAGCTGCGCCATTTCCTGTCCAAGGCTGAGCGAGGCAGGTTGGTGTTGCGGGGTATCCCGGAATACCCCGTGGGAGCTGGTCCTGGACTGGCCTTCAGAGCCGAGCAGAGGACGCTGCTTTGGGCCCCAGAGCATGGGAAGGTCTCGGCTGCGGTCTGGGACCTGCTTGGAGGGCCCCGGGCCTGCGGACGCTGGGGAGCGGTTGCCGGGCAACAGTGCGGGCGGCCTGGCCTCTTTGCGCCCGGCGGGCAGCGCGCGTCTGGGGCGGGCTCGGCGCGGGGCTCGGGCACAGGCCCCCGCTGCCGCAGCCCTACCCAGTGAAACACCGAGGGCGGCGTCGCTTCGCCGTCACCTGGCTCTGGCCCTCTCACTCTAGCGTGGGGGTGACACTGGCCAGGCAGTGAGGACCCTGAGATCCATGCCCTGGGAGACAGGGGTTGTCTCCTGTCCCTGCACCCGCGTGCCTGCCTTCTAACCCTCATACCGTTGGGCAGGTTAATTCACTGGACTGGGCCTCTGTTCCGTGGGAGTTGAAAAGATTTGACCTGGAAGAAGCCCTACCGATCATTCAGTTAAGCCGCAACCCCACCCCGTTTTATATAGGTAAGGGTGCTTCACAGTGAGCGCTCGTCGCGTGCCTGGTGCTTTACATCAGTCCCCAAAGTGTCCTCGTGGTTTCTCTCTAACCTTCCCATAGTATGGGTGAGGACTCTGAGGCTCGGAGAGGTTGTGACTTCAGCCAGAATCACACAGCTTGTAACTGGTGGAGATAAGGACACCCAGACTCAGATTAAATCACTCGCAGTTTGTTCGTGGCAGATTACGTGTTAGAATCATGTTACACTACTATGAAACCTGGCCGTAAATCAGAATCACCTGGAACGGGTTTAAAATCTACATTCGTGGCTGGGCACTGTCCCGGGTTTACTGACTCGAAATCTCGGGCTACGGCTGAGGAAGCTGTATATTTAACAAGCTTTCTGATGATTTTTATGATCTGTGGATGAAGCACTGAGTACCGCTGGGTACACCACGGAGCCTTCTCGCACAAAAACAACTATAAAATAATGTCTAAGGTACCTAGAGCAGAAGAGACGCTGGTGAGCATGGTAACATCATGTTCTAATCCCTTCAGCCAATTTGTACCCTTTCTTCACTCTTCAGAAACAAGCCAAAGGCGTATTTTAAACAAATATGGACATTTGGATGCAAATTGCCCCAAGTTTGTTACCTGTCACACATCCACATTTAAGTTTCTGACTAGACCGGCCTGTCATGATCAAAGTCAGGAGGTAGTGTGTTTCTCTATCCTTGGCGACCTGTCATCTGCTCTCTCCTCATCTCCATGCCAGGCCCCTAAATCGCCGGGATTGATGTTAGCTTTGGAAGAACTATTTGCAGAGCGTTTTCTGCACTGAAAGGAAGGCTGGAAGCTTTGTGGAAGCATTGCCGCACATAAATGAGTGCCTCTTGGCCTTAAATAGCAGTTGGAATGAAACGGATCACCCTACTGTTATTCATTGACATTTATAAACAAAACTGTCATAAAAATAATCACTTGGCTCTTAGTTTTAGAATGCTAATAAGCCTGACCATTCTGTTTAGTGCTTTATTATTATTAATTTCATCATTTATGCTGCATCCCTTAGGGATTCCGGTTCACAATGGATGCTGATCAAGAGAAAGATCTGCAGAAATTTCTTAAAAATGTGGATGAAATCAGTAAGTACTAGTAGATCATAAATTAATTTTTGCTTTAGAGAGGTGGAGTAGATAAAGGGAAATGATTACTCTAAGTTCCTGGGTGACTTGACAGGTTTGTAACTCTCAGGGAAAGAATGTAACTGAAATTAAACAGAAGGGTATTGAGAGGCAAGTTATAGCCTCGGGGCCGTATTTTCTGGCTGTTAATTGGTATCAGAGAAACTGTTAACATTCTGATAGGAATTCAGGCTGATGGTTTTCCTCCATATTTTGTATCCTTCTTTGTGGAATCCGGTCAAAACGAGCTGCTGTTTCCTCACTGACAATGAACCTAGCTGTTCCCTTCAAGGGTCTAGAGCCTCATTGATCAGTGTGAGATTCCTCCCGTTTTAGAGTAGAGCCATTTCTGTTTTAGAGCTGCAGGGGCAAAATCAAATGGCTTTCCTTTAGAATCCATCACATTACATGGATGGCTTATGATCGTCATTCCCTTCTCTCCCTCAAGATGAGAAAGTCCTTTCCCAAGCTCAGACAGGTTGGATCTCAAAGAATATGTACTGTGATCCCACAGGTCACTTTCAGGAATTTCCAAACCTGTCAGTCCCTGTTCAGGGAGCTCGTTTGAGTATAGAAACAAACCAACCAACAGGCAAACAGACCTTCCATAGTAAATACAAGAAATATGTTGAAATTGCTGCTTCTAGCAGATTGTCTGGGTTTATAGAATCAGCTGGTTTTAAAGCTAGTTTGGGTGGCATCATAAATGATACATGTATAATGCCTTGTGTGCCTCATGGGCCTGCTCATCCCTGAGTGCTGTTCCATGGAGCTCTGGCCTTGGCCCACTGCTGCCTTTCTCTTCAGCTGGTCTAAACATGTAGCTTTACCTGCCATCAGTATGCTCATGACCCCCACATCTACGTGGATACTTAGCCTTCTTTTCTGAGCCTCTGCCTCTATGATCACTGTCATACCTACTGTATCCCACAAATAACTCAAGTGTGTCCAAAATGGAGGCATCATCTCTTTCCCTCCCCTTTGCCCTCCCCCTCCCAAATAAAACCTGCTTCTCGTACCCTCCCCTTCATCCTGGTCTCAGTTGGTGACACCACCATCTAGAAATTTACAAGTATCTGGGACTCCTCCCACCTCATAACCCTGCATCCAATTAGCCATCTAGTTTGGTTGGAGAGCCATCCTCTCTAGCCCTCCCTTTGTTTTGGTTCCTCTCACCCAGACTATTTCAACAACCCCCTGATTGTTTTTCCTATCTCCAGGTTTATACTCCCCACAGAGTAATGTATCTAAAATGCAAATCTGACCCAGACACTTCTCTGCTTGGATTCCTTTTGCAGTCACAATAAATCCCAAGCTCTCATCAGGACTTAAGTCCTCCCATGACCTTGTCCTTACCTCTCTCATATCTCCCTACCTCACGCTTGAGCAACAATAAACTGCTGATAGTTTCCCCCACACATACTCTGTGTTTCACACTCTGCACTGGGTCTTTGCCATTCCCACTGCCTCTTCATCTTTTTTTTTTTAACCTGGCTAACTTTTATGGATACTCACAGTTCATTCAGGTATCATTTATACCAGTGCTGTCCAATAGAGCTTTCTGTGATGATGAAAATTTGCCATAATCCTCACTGTCCACTATGGTAGCCACTAGCCACATGATTATTGAGTATTTGAAATGTGGCTTATAGCTTCACTCTGTGTGGTTAGGATTCTGTGTGTTTATGGCTGCAGCCCAGGTTTGAAATGTGGCTTGTTTCAATTAATTTAAATTTATGTAGCCACATGTATATAGATTCTGTACATTTACTTCTTGGGCTCTTGCTATGTGTTGAGTGTTGGTAGGCCCTAGAGAATACAGTCAAAGAATTACCTCTTTTCATGGTTTCAATAGTCCAGTGAAGAAAACAGATATTAAACAGTAATTTCAAGTGTGCAATATGAGACACAGAGAGAATTATAAAGTGTAGGGATCTAACCCAGCTTTGGGAGGTTGTATTAGTCTGCTAGGGCTGCTGTAACAAAATAGGCTGGCTGGCTTAAATGACAAAACTTTATTTGCTTAGAGTTCTGGAGTTTAGAAATCTAAGACCAGGGTGTGAGCAGGTTTGGTTTCTTCTGAGGCCTCTCTCCTTGGCTTGCAGATGGGCACCTTCCCGCTGCGCCCTCACATAGTCATCTCTCTGTGCGTGGATGTATTTGGTGTTTCTCTTCTTATAAGGACACTAGTCATATTGGATTAGGGCAATAATTAATTACTTCTTTAAAGGCCCTGTCTACAAATACAGTCATACCAGGAGTTATAGCTTCAACATGTGAATTTGGCAGGGGGGATGCAATTTAGTCTATAACAGAAATCAAATTAAGTTTTCCTGAAGAAGTGAGATTTAGGCAAAATGTGAAGAGTGAGTAGGAGTTGGTCACTGGGGAGATGACAGGGGAGTATTCTGGGTGGGAAGTAAGGAGGCAGGAAAGCTAAGAGTGAAGAAAGAGTGTGGTGCTTTTGAGGAAGTGAAAGAATAAAAAGCCCCATATAGCTGGAAAGAAGAGATCAAAGAGAGAGGAGTCCGATCTGAATATGGAGGGGCCATATTAGGAAAGACCTTGGAAACCATGGTAAGGAATTTGTGTTTACCCTGAAAGCAGTAAATCCATTCCAACTAATTTATGTAGTGACTCTTCCCTCAAGGAGATGGAGCATCTCCACGCCTTAAATGTGAGATACATTTAGTGACTTGCTTCCGAAGAGTACAGTATGGAAAGAGAGGGAAGAAAGTAACTTTACAGTGGAAAAGGTTGACAAACACAATTTCAGACAGATGATCAAGGTTAACCTCCTGATAAATCACGCTGATTGCATGCATCCTTGATATGCCATAATGTGCCATGGTCTTTTTCCCCAAATCCTGTAACCCAGTCTAACCATGAGAAAAATACCAGATAAACCCAAATTGCAACGTATTCTATGAAATACCTGATCAGTACTACTCAAAACTATCATGGTCATCAAAATAAGGAAAGGGTGAGAAATGGTCACAGCCTAGAGAAGCCTAAGGAGACATGACTAAATGTCATATAGTGTTCTGGAGGGGATCCTGGAATAGAAAAAGGACATTAGGGAGAAAAACAATGAAATTAGAATAACGTGTGGAGTTGAGTCAATAAAAAAAGTTAATTAAAAGACGTGAAAGAAGAGCTAAATAAATGGAGACATATTTAATCATAGGAAGACTTATTTGTTAAAGATGTCGATTTTTAAAATATTCTATACAGTAAATGCAATTTAAATCAAAACCCCCAAAGTAGTATGTACTAAAATTCAGCAAGCTGATTCCAAAGTTTACATGGAAGAGCAAAGGACCAGCAAGAGCCAAGAAAACTCTGCAGGAAAAAAAAACAAAACAAAACAAAAAAAAAACAGGACAAGTCTCCCTACCTGACATTGAAGATTTATTATAAAGCCATAGTAATCGACGCATGGAGGTTTTGGTGCTGGAAAAGACAATCAGGGGAAAGGAATGCAGAGCCTGGAGCAGACTCGCACATATTACAGGGCTGATGAGACACATTGCTGGCAGGGACTTCTCAACAAATAATGCTCCTGCCCTACATGAAAGTCAACTCCAGGTGAATTACATACCTTAATGAGAAAAAAACTTTAAAACTTTTATAAAATACCATAAAATAGTATATTTATAACCTTACTGACACAAAAGGCCTAAATTGTAAAGGAAACGATTGGTATATTTAACACATTAAGATTAAAAAGAAAATCTCTTCAACAAAATATTCCATAAAAACGAATGAAAAGACAAAGCATACCCAAGGGGAAGATGCTTGGAAATACATGTAACCAGTCCAGAATATACAACTGATAAGGATAGGAGACGGGAATAGTGGGTAGGAGAGGGTGGTTCCCTGGCAAATACCCCACCTTCAAGCCTGGAGTTCTGCAGCCCTAAGTGGGAACAGGCATTTCTGTTTTTGTGCCCAAAAAGTTGCCTTTTGGCCCGCCATACTCCCCTATCCTGTGCCCATATAAACCCTGAACTGCAGGCTCCAGAAGCAGGCAAGCAGGTGAGGAGGTGAGGACACAAGCAGACAAATGGCAGAATGACACAGCAGAGCAAAGAGGAGGAATGTCTGAACGCTGAGAGGAGTTTGGCTGGGAGCAGTCAGAGGGCAGTTTGGCCCCTGGATGGCCAAGCTCCAGGGGAAGATCATCTTTCCATTCCATCCCCCCTTCCAGTTCCCCATCCATCCCGCTGAAAGCCACCTCCACCACTCAATAAAACCCCACATTCATCCTTCAAGCCTGTGTGTGACCCGGTTCTTCCGGGGACGCTGGGCAAGAGCTCAGGATACAAAAAGCCTTGTGAAAAGGCAGAGGATCCATCTAGCTGGTTAACACTCAAGTCGTCCACAGATGGCAGGGCTAAAAGGACACACTGTAACATACTCCCAGTTGGGCTCCTGCACTTGTCTCCCCCTCCCCTCAGGGGTTTGAGTAGTGGTGGTGACTGAACAGGCAAGCCACACCTCTGTCGCATGTCCTGCGAGGGGGATCAGAGAACTCCCCTGTTTCACAATCAAATCAACCAGGCATGGTGGTGTGTACCTGTAGTCTTAGCTACTCAGGAAGCTGAAGCAGGAGTATCACTTGAGCCCAGGAGTTCAAATCCGGCCTGGACAACGTAGCCAGACTGTCTCTTAAAAAAAAATTTTTTTTTGAAAAGAAATTATGTTAACTAACAAGAAAGAGACAATGACCCAATAGAAAATTGGCCAAGGATAGGAGTAGGCTCTTCATAGAAATCCAAATGGGTGCAAATCAGTAAGAGGATGCTCAATTCCAATCACATTCAGCAAAATACATATTAAAACATTAATGAAATACCATTCCCATCCATTACATTGACAGCAATTAAAAAGTTTAACCTAGCAAGTGATGACAAGAATGTAGAAGAATGGGAACGCCCTCTTGTATACTTTTGTAGGAGTAAAAATTGGTACAGCCACATCCTGAAGGATTTGTAACATATGTGCACAGGGAAATATGTAAATAAAGATATTCAATTCAGCATTTATTTACTTTAGAAAAAACTAAAATTAAAAACCACCTGGCGGTCAATAAGAGAATGGATTAACTATGGTATATATAATGGTTTAAATGAATCAACTGAACCATATGTATCAAGAACAAATGTCTAAAGCATCTTAAGAGAAAAAAGTAAGTTGCAAACGAATGCACATTTTATACAACTATTTTTAAAAATTGTTTAAATATTGCATACACAAATATTCTGATAGATTGCAAGAATGGTTACAAATTCCTTTCTTCCTATCAAGGGTGGAGCCTATTTCTCTACCCCTTGAATCTGGGTTGGTTGGCCATGTGCCTCACTTTGGCCAAAAGGATGTTTGCAAACATGACACACACAGGCCTTGAAAAGTGCATGTGAATTGGGGCTTGCACTCATGCCGCTCATGAGAAGGTAAGACACATTTCCCCTCATTGCTCGCATTTCTCAAGCCAACAGCCAGCGGACTTTCTAAAGCAGAACCACTTAGATGACTGACAGTTGACCATGGATATATGTGTGAGTCCAGCTGAAACTGGAAGAACTGGCCAGCTGAATCCAGCTCAGATTGTTGACTTAGAGAATTGTAAACTAAGCCACAAAAATGGTGGTTTGTTTCAAACCACTAAGTTTTGACGTGGTGTGTGATGCAGCAAAATCTAAATGATACAAATACTAAGCATTAAAACATGCTGGAGAAAAGATACCATTAACTTATAAATGGCATAGAAACAAAAATGTTATATTACTTTCTGTATGCTTGAAATATTGTACAATTAAAAAATTTCAAACTTCCTTGAAGAGTCAGTGGGAAATGAAGAAATTGGAACAATAAAATGTCTTTAAGAAGTTTCATTGTGAAGGGGAGGAGACAGAGCATTAGGAGAGATTTAAAGTACATAAATACATTTAGGAAGAAGCTGGTCGAATGGAATGGGTTGAAAATATTGTGCAATAGGATTATTAATTGGTGATGCAGGGTTCCTGATTATGCAAAACATGACGATGGACTCCTGGGCCCAGGATGAGGGACTAACCTCACTGAAGAATGGGCACTTTTTTCTGGTAGGAAGGAAGGATGGATGTAGGTATAGGCAGTTTCGTAGTTTTAGTGGCAGGAAGTTGATGGCATCTCTCTCCTCTCTGAATTGATAAGTAAGGTCATGTTTTTGAGATGGTCAGGTTCAGATTACAAACTGTTAAAAGTCACTGGGGGAATGATAGGATATCTTGCCTAGGATAACAAGGATTGCTAGGCATCACTGAAGGTCCAGTTGAGTTTGGACCAGTCCCCCAGGCATCTATCTGTCTCCTTCAGTACTTAGCATTCCTAATACAGACTGAGAGAATTGGGTAATTGGAATCATGTAGAGCTGGAATTTTGTCTGTTAGGTGGGATAGTGGGGCAAGGGAGTTGAGTATGTGGGCAGGATGACTGCCAAGTGATTGACCATGGAATCTAAGCTGGATAGGCAGTACAGTGAAGACAGGTGAGGATAGGGTTAAGGGCTGTTGTTTTGTGATTTTGGAGCTGCCTATACTTACATGTTTGTCTCCCACACAAGTTCATAAACTCTTCAAAAATGGATCTTTTTTTATTCATCATTGTTATCTATAACATCAACATAATATCTAATAATGAGTTCTCCATAAATTATTGTTGAATTGAATAATGGCTTAAAACTCTGTTCCTTAAAGCTAATAGCTACACTCACCTGCAACTTTTTTCTAGGCAAAAAAAAAAAAAATACATATATATATATGTTAATTTTTTCTCATTGGTTCTGCTTGCTCTATTTTGCTTTTGATTGCGCTATTTTTTTTCTTTAAGATCTTTCCCATACATTTTATGCACCATCCTTTCTAGTGAATAGAGTCTTTTGAATATCTTGTTTGATTAAGTCACATCTGATTTCTTCTCTAGCCAATTTAATTCAGGAGATGAATTCTGATGACCCAGTTGTGCAACAGAATGCTGTCCTGGAGACAGAAAAGAGACTGCTGCTTATGGAGGAAGACCAGGAGGAGGATGAATGCAGGACCACCTTGAATAAGACTGTGATCAGTCCTCCACAAACTGTTGTGAAGGTTTCTTTTTCTATTGAGAAGTTATATAAGTACAGACAGTGAGAAGACCTACACCAAGGCAGTAGTTTCATCTCAAACTGTCCGGCGAGGCTGAAATGGTCTTTTGTTTCTTAGATTCATTAGATTTATTTTTTATAAGAAAGTATAAAATTCAATTTTTTTTCCTTTGATCTTTCTGGGTTATCTTTGAACAACCCTTTGAATCTATTTTAATGAAAACTTCGCCTCTCCACCCCCTGAGCTTGTGTGATATATTTAAGCTGTACTTTTAAGGTAATGTATTCTAACTCATTTCCAACTCATAAGCCACAGCTGAAGTCTCTTGACCTGGGCAGCCTTGTTTTGCAGACTCGGTCCCATAGCAATTGTGCCCATAACCAGATCTCCTGATTTAAAGCAAGCCCCCTGAATTCTGATCTCTTTAGTTTTGATGGTTAAAGGAAATGACCTCTTGTTTGTAATTGATTTGCCTTCTTGGTTTATATGCATATAAATTAGAGAATGGTTTTTGAAATTTGTTTCTTTGTTTTTATGATAACCTACATCTACAGAGTGCCGAAGAAGTAAACTCAGGTAAGGATAGCATCTCTCTTCCCAATTTTTATTCTTCATATAGGACCAGTTTTGATTGCGTGTAGCTCCCAGACCTTTAAATTATTGCCTCTGGGCTTACAAACAACCTGTGAACAAAAACCTACTGATCATCCCATTCTGTTACTAGTGGTCAGCAGGAACGTCCCTGAGAGGTTTTTCTCTATTTTCTGTTGGTCAACCTTTTGTAAACTCAATTCATTTATTCTGTATCATCCAATTTACCCTGTTCAAGGGATCCAGATAGTTTCTCTGTTGCTCAGCTCAGAAGCTCATTATGCTAAACAGAACAAAAAAATCTGTCTTCAAAGAAAAACTCTTTTAAAAGACATAATTCAAATTTGAAGCACAGTCATAGCCATCATGTATAATAATAAAGCACACAGATTACCATTTAATGTCAAATTAAGAAAATGTCATTTTAGTTGCCTCAGAATTGTGTGTGTGCGTGTGTGTGCGCCTGTGTGCATATGCATACGTGTGACTCTAAAGTAACTCTTCTGAATTTGAGCTAAATAACTGATTATAGTATTTGGATTTTTCTTTTTAATATCTGAAATTACCCTGCTGTCAGAGGCCTTCTTGGCATCTGTGGAGAAGGATGCAAAGGAACGAGCCAAGAGAAGAAGGGAAAACAAAGTCTTAGCAGATGGTAATTGTCAGTCCTTACGTTTCAATGGTGGGATGATTTGTGCTAGAAAGAGCACACGAAAGCCTGAATGCTGACATTTGAGGACATCTAGATTCCCAGTGGTGAGGTTTGTGATGGGCTCGAGGCAATGGGACTTGGCCAGAAGGAAATCATTGGTGGTCTCTTCTTTATTCCTGCTGCAACAAGCAGGGGGTAGGATATACCTACCTCCAGTGAAACCTCTTTCTAAAGCATCCCTGTGCTCTTAGCAGAGCAAAGTGAATCGTACTAAACAGTGCTCAGGAAGCAGTGGGGGGTGAGAGTGAGCTGCCGCTGGCTAGCCTAAGGCATAGATGAAGAAGTGGAAAAGAAGAATAAAACAGCTGTGAGAAGAGAGAGGAGAAATCAAGGAAAAGGAAGGGATGGGATTGTGTATGTTGTGGGGAGATACATACGATAGAAGAATGTTTTCAATTTATTTTATACCACCCAGGGCTGTGTGTACTGCAGGTCTGAATGATTCCATCTTTGTTGGGAAAATTAATTATTTGACCCTCTTTATGAGACACCGAATGCACAGATTTGGTCTCTGTGACAAACTTAGTATGGTTCTGAGCGTCGGTGCAGAAACGTTTACTTTTTCTGAGAATCTACTTAGAAGACATGGGTGGATTTGGAGAAAAAAAATATACTTGAAGAAGCTGGTCCTGAAATATCTGCAGAGAAAAACAAATGTTGAGTCCCTTTAGGATCAATAGAAGTGAAGACCTTCAAAGTAGAATTGGAAAATCGGGGGAATAAAGTCTGAGAGATTTTCTGATGTGTGGTGAGAGCTCACCTGTGTGACTTATATTCCCATAGCCCTAAAAGAAAAAGGGAATGAAGCATTTGCTGAAGGCAATTATGAAACAGCTATCCTGCACTATAGTGAGGGTTTGGAGAAGCTAAAGGACGTGAAAGTGCTGTACACCAACCGAGCCCAGGTCAGTGAGGCAAGCATGTGTCTATGGGGCTTTCTCAGGGAATAGTTACCACTAAACCTGGGAAAACAAAGATGAGACTAGATGTTGGACTGGGAAATGTTTATAAGAACTGGCTCTTGTTTTGGGTGTGGGAGGAGCTGACTTATACGTAGCATTTACCAGTTTCCATGATGCAAATATTCTCACCATGATCTAATTTGAAATCACTGCAGGAGGACTTGGGAAGAACTGCCCATTATCAGCTGTCTCCATAGTATAAGTCAGTTCTATCATATCACTGATGGTGACCATGCACTTGTCCCTGTGGATAAAGGAGAAAACTAGTGGAATGAAATGACCTATAGGACCTTAGAATTCTGCTACCAACAGATTTCTTCAGCCTCCTTTTTTGGTACTAGTCTTAACTCCTAGGGGATGCGCTCCTATTAGTTTCTCATTCGTTGTATCAGTCTCTCTTTAAGATTCTGCGACGGGGGTAAAGTGGATAACAAGTGGTCCTAGAACCAATTTCTTGGAAATTTTGGGTTTCTTAAAGTTTTTATGCCTTGGTATGTGTCACAAATGAGCTCAGTTTCTTGGAACACCAGGTAAAAACCACCCAGATGTTTATTTACCACTTAATGAAGGGATGGGCTGATAGCTCTCAACTGAAACAAAACCATCACCTGTGACCTTGTGTTTGAAAAGTAGTTTAGTTTCTGTGTGGTAGAGTTCTCTGCCAGACAGGCCTGAAAATTTGGCAGATTCGTGGACGTAATTACCCCATGGTCAGAATATGTCAGCAGGACCTGTGTGAGGTGGACTTGGCGATGCCTTGTCATTTGCAAGAGGGAGAGACTGCAGCAGAGTCCTCATCAGCTCCAATGTCCCTAACTCGAGATTAAGAATGTCTGGCTCTGGGATGTTGAGAAAGAGGATTGGAAGCAAGAAACAGGACATTCAGAGGCCAGAATGTCTGGGGAGTGATAGTGACTTAATGATAAATAAATCCAAGCAGTATAATCTCACTAGTTTAGCAATTTGGATAAGGTAGACTAGAATTGAAGTGTCACTTAAACTATCCCAATTTTGGAGAAAACTAGTTATAAGGAAGTGAATCGGTAAAAAAGATGACCAGAGGTTGATTTAACAGTACATTGCATTACCCGAACAAGATTATAAACTTTTTGAGGGCAAAAACTACCATATACTTTTTCCCTTAATGCTTTATTTATAGCAGATGTTCAATAAATCCTTTTTTAGTTACATAACATTGGAAGCACAATAAGTCCAATTAAGGGAGTTAAGTTTCTGTTGACAATTCAGAAGCATCGCTTAAATGCAAGCAATTAATAGAATAATGATAGTTCCTTCTTATTTATTACCAAATTTGGTCTCTAAAAACATCTGCCTACTGATGCTTGTTCAGTTTTGTTACTCTGAAGTTATTTGAAAGCAATAAAATTGAATTGCTTTAAAAAAGTTATGTAATTCAGACATATCTAATTCAGACTGTCTATACTCTGATTCATCTGAATTAGTTATATTTTCACTGCACTCATTTTTAAGCAGCACTTTGATTAGTTCTGAAGAATCACATTAAGAATGAATGTGGATAAATATAAGGAAATGTAATGAAAAGGTTTGAGGGAGTGATTCCTCCCAGCTTTCCCAAGGAGAAAACTTACACAGAGACAAAAAAATGGAAAATGTACTCCCTGGTGTTACAAACCGTTTGAACCACTGAACTATTTTTAAAATGCTCCCCCTGTATGCATGCAGTGTTAGAAAACACTTAATAAGGACCCTGTAAATTTTCTCTTGCTAGAGAGAAAACCTAACCTTTCATTGCTTTGTTTTTCCCTTGGAGTTAATGTTATGATCAATAGATTGCCGGTATAATTTAGATAAATCTGGAGTTTAATTGCTGTTTGGAAAAAGTAGTTCTTTTTTAAAATGTGCAAAAGTGAAAGAGATTGAGGAAGTTATAGGGTGTTTAATCCAAGCCTTAAGAGAGAAAGAAAAAAAAAAAGTAAAAGGCCGTGTAGAGAAATTGTTGCAACCCATAAAGACTTCTTCAGAGTATGCACGATTCCTGAATAATAGTGCCATGAAATCATGGCCACAGCTGTCTAGAATGATGCCAGCTTCCTTCTCACATCCCCTAATTTTCAAATGAAACCTGAGACCCTGGAGAAAAGGATGATGCTTTACAGAACAGGTAGCTCAAAGAGTCATCTTCTCTATTTACTACAGAACGTGAGTTAATGAAAGCACCACTTGCAGCTTCCTTGCTATGGGAGCCAGGAGCGGCATGATTTCAATGCATTTGCTGGCTGTTGCCTGCTCTCTTCTCACTTGGGTTGGATACTTGGATTACCTGTGAGTTGCAACATTAACCCCACAATTGGCTTGTCCATGCAAATATCTCATCAGGTTTGTTGTTAAGAGTGTTGCAGTACCCTGGTACAGTTTTGATCATGGACAATCCTACGTGTAGTACTGGCTTTATTATTGGTGACTGATGGAACCCTGGAAAAGCCACTGCTCCTGGTGCTTGGCTATCCTTTTGTACAAATGGGATGATAGGTGCTGCCTCTTAGGGAGCTTTCCAGAAGAAAAGTGCTTCAAGGCTACTTAGTGCAATTTGATAAGACTTTATTGACCACTTGCTGTGTCCAGTAATTAATAGAGAGGTTATAGTAGCCATTGTGCTTGTTTATAAATAGTCGTTCATTTGTTTATATTCCTCTAGTTCTCAATCTAAGTTCTCAATCAGTTCAGTTTGAATGGATCACGAAATTCTGAGTCAATTCTTGATTTTCAAGATTTTCCCCAATTCTAAGGGATTCTAAAAGAGTGCCCAAGGCATTTGATACTAAGGGTTCATGGTGATGCTCTTGACTCTCATATGTCACTCTACTTCTTTCATTTTTTTTCTGCTGTGCTCGGAAGGACAGAAGCAGAGCTTTTTTTATTATCTTTTGATAACAGCATTATTGAGATATAATTCACATACCATACAGTTCACCCTTTTATAGTACACAATTTAATGGGATTTTAGTATAATCACAGAGTTGTGCGACCATCACAATTTTTGAACATTTCATCATCATCCCCCAAAAAACTTCATCCTGTCAACTCCCCAATCCTCCCATTGCTACTCTCAGCCCGAGATAATCACCAGTCTACTTTTTGTCTCTATACCTTTGTCCGTTCTAGACATTTTATATAAATGAAATCATACATTTGTCCTTCTGTGACTGGCTTCTTTCATTTATCATAATGTTTTTAAGATTCATCCACGTTATGGTATGTATCAACTCTTCATTTCTTTTTATTGCTGAATAATTTTCCGTTGTATGGATATACCATATTTTATGTATCCCTTCATCACTGATGGACATTTGGATTGTTGCCTTTTGACTATCATGAATAATTCTGCTATGAACATTCATGTATAAGCATTTGTATGGATGTATGTTTATATTCTTCTTGGGATATACCTAGGAGTAAAGTTACTGGGTCATATGGTAACATAACCTTCTGAAGAACTTCCGGACTATCTTCCAGAGGGGCTGTGCCATTTTAATTCCCACCAGCAGTGTATGAGGGCACTAATTATCTGTCTTTTTTATTCCCTTTATCATTTGGTGTTTTTCTGGAACATTCACAGCAGGGTAGACTCCAGAATTCAACTCTTCCTTCTTGGATGTAGCTAGTGAGCTGGGTATTTTCTGTGTCCCTCTAGATCTTTCCCTACACTGTGCCCTGGAGGGCTGACCTGTGTGGACTGGCTCCTTGGCTTCCCAGCCTTCTAGCCTCCGTTTGCATTCAGCCAATAAAATAAGAAGGAAGGAGGAAAAGTGAGATTGGGTATTATTCTCCTGGCCTTTGGCTCTAGTGAAGGCCTCAGCTCATATCAGGCAGTTCTTTTCGCAGAGCTATCCTCTCCCATTGTGTTCATTGCTCCCTCCTTCTGCCCCTTCTATTACAGCAGTGGTAATGGCTGTCCACTGTTGCTAGCTCTGAGATTCTGTAGCATCCCTTGTCAGGTTCCCTAAGCCCTGCCTTCACCGTGGAAGAGGTCTCTGTATTCAACTCTCAGTTGCCCAGTGTAAGTGTGCCATCTGTTTCCTGACAGGACCATGACTGATCTAGGTAGGGGATAGTTCTCGCTGACATTCTACTGTTCGAATGTTCTTTCTGCATGAACTGAAAACTGCCTGATGCAGAGTTGTGTGTGAATATCAGCTGTTGGTTTCGTTACAGGCTTATATGAAACTTAAGAACTATGAGAAGGCGCTGGTGGATTGTGAATGGGCTCTCAAGGTAAGAGAGTATTTCTTTTCCCCCATGATGGTATTGGGCTGAAGTAGATAGAAGGCAGCTGCCAGTGTATCAAGATAGGAAAGGGTATAACCTCTGTAGCCAGAGCTTCAGTTTCCTCATCTGTAGAATGGGATAGAATAGAATTGTTAGGAGGGTCATGACAATGCACAGAAAGTGCGTGGTTCCTAGAAAGCAATCCAGGGAGCTGCTGCTATTGAATTTTCAGTGTCTTATATTACTACAGCTCCTTCTTTACTCTTGTGTTATCAGACACTTTGTTCTATGTGTTAGTGGAAATGCCTCCTTCTCTCTTCCGGGGCCAGCCGTTGGAGCTGATTTCTGCAATGCTGCAGTGCTGTTCTTCCTTGTCAGTTTGTGTTTTTTCCCTCCAGCCCTAATAATTTGAAAATATAGCATCCTCTATTTGTAGAGGAATAATCAGAAGAAAGAATTCCTATTTTTCAACTTTAGTCAGGCCTTGGGCAGATAAAATAATTCTACGCATGGCATTTCCTCTGAAATCTGCCAAAATAGATGGTGAAAGATGCATAGACGTAAAGACTGTTGATAGAAATGTTAAGAGTTACTAAAAGAGAAATAACACAATCACTTTTTAGGGACATGACCAAATATTTAAGTAACCCTTAATCCACATTCCCCTGAATTACTCTGTCACAGGGGTTTTAACTAAGTAACCAAAACTAGTGCTTCTCAGACTTCTGCACTTGGTGCTAACAGCAGAGGAGAATGGACATGAGCCCCTCGAGAGGGACTAGAAGCAGAAAGCATGAAATTTCTTTTAAGATGTGTGTTTTATCTTAAAAACCTTGTTAATTTTGCACAGCACTTCATGAAAGTTATCTGTTTGTTTTGATATAACAGCATTATTTTCAGTAACTTAGAATCAAGTAAAATTGAGGTGCCAGGAGAGTGTGCCAAGTTTATCCTGTGGCTTCAATTCTTGGGTACAGTGCAGCTACCCTAGCCTAATGAGTATGTCCGAAAACAAGAGGACACTTTCCTAGCAGCATACTGGCCATATCTGCTTTATTTCTTGTTGAGAGGGTAAGCAAAGGAAACCGGGATGAATGAGAAAGTCACCTCTGCTTATAATCATTCATAAAACACTAGGGATCCTCTTAACACTGACATCTGGAGTGTCCAATTTCTTTATCCCTTAGAAGATACAATGTGTGGCAAATTTTGTTCCTTTGCATGAGTATAGTCTTTAAGTTATAAGGTTGGGGCCGAAGCTGATGACGTCAAGCTCTTCACAGCTCCATCATAGGTCCACTAACCTGCTTTGTTGCCTTGCCTGATAGTGATTTCTTTTTCTACCATTATTCTGCAGGAGAAGAGAGAGGCAAGGATGTTTTCCTTGGTTTTTCCAGTAATAACAGCAAGCAACATCATTTGCTGCATGCTCATAAAATTCTATTCTGTTCTGTTCAGTGTCACTATTTTCTCTATTTTTCTGACGAGGAAATCAAGCCTCAGTGATTAATTAAGTACTTTGTGCAGGATCATGAAGCTAGTGTCTGTCTAACTCTAAGCCCATGCTCTTAACCTCTATAAAGGGCCTCTCCACTGCAACTTTGAACCCCATAATCCCTGGGTGTGGATGTCTTTCCCATCTGTGGAAGAAACATGATCTCCTCACAGGTTCACCAAGAGTATCTTTTCTGATCTGAAAAAGGCCAAAGGGGCAGACATACCACCATGCTGATTCAGGATAACACACTGGCCTGTTCTCAAATGTTAATTGAAGTACAATGTAATTAACAGTGAAACCGAGGCCAAGCAGGCCCAATGGAGCTGACATTAAAAAACGCTGACACTCAGCAGCCAATCTTGTTAAATGCCCAGCGAGGCTCCCAGTTGAAGAGGTTTGGGTAAACACTTGGAGAAATGAGAAAAAAAATGTACAAAGAGTTCTAAAAACTAATAATGATTTGTTTTATGTTACAGCTGTGAATTTAAAACTTTTGCTCTCTTTAAAATTAATGTATCAATAGCGAACGTCACTGGCACTCCGTTACTAATAGTATTAGTACTTTCATGCCAACTTAATCTTTTTTGACACTTTTAAATTGGTAGAGACAAGCTTATGTGATGATATTTCAAGACTGATGTTTCTTGTCAAGGAAGATAAGGCAGCAAAGCTGGTTTCAATTAGGACCAGAATCATTTCTTTCTCAGCAGAACACTTCTTGCACAATGAAATATATCTTCCTCTGAAGGCAGGATTCCTTTAAGGGGAAGCTGGGGTTCACCCAAGAACATCGTCATGAGGGTTGATACATGGTCAAAGGAGAATGGGCCTATTAGTGAGAAAAATCCATTAGCAGCCTTTTGCGTCATTGTCTTAGGAAGGCAAATTCACAGCTATCCGCACTTCACGGTGACGCACGATAGGTCGGGGACAAGGCTTTAATGCTTGGGGCTCGGTTTCCCCCACCTGCCGTAACCCCGGTGCTCTGCCAGTGAATGTACTGTGAATATTTGGCTTTCATGAGCTGAAGTGCTAGAGTTTCCTCTTTTCTCTTTGACCATCCCTTTCCTGCTTCCTCAATTTTATCCTTTGTGAATTCATGAGGGATCACCCCTCTGCTCCCTGTCTTTTGTCTCTGTACAGTTACTCCTTTACAGCTCTCTTCTCTCATGGGCTCAACTCTTATGTCTGCAAATGGCTCTCAGACCTACTTCCCCAGTCTCCCCTTCCCCAGCTCCAGGGCTGCATGTCAGCTGCCTCCTGCAGGTGCCTTTTGATAGTCTTGATGTCATCTGAAACTCGGTATGTCTAGAAGCCAACTCTTCATCTTCTCACTCAGCCTTTCTCACTCCCTGCCCTAGCTGACCTCTTTCTGTTAATGACACACCACGTCTTTCAGGTATCTAGGCCCCTGGTTTTGACTTCACATCCTCCATCACCCTTATCACTGATAGTTAGTTGATGCTGGTCAGATCTTTCTTTGACATAGCTCTGGCATCTGCACTTCCTTTCCCTTCCACTGTCACCAGGACTTCAGACATTAGCCCTTGTTCTAAGTGATTGTTCTGCTCTCCTTACTCATCTCTCATTGTTCAGCCCACCATACCTCTTGTTCAGCCTTTCCCTCCTCTGATCACATCTACATGCCACCTTCCTACCAGCTTACCTCCACACTGCCATTGGTGACTCACCCTCCTCCAGTGTGGCTCAAGATGGGATCTTCTCTCCACCCAGTACCTGCCCCTCGATCCCAGCTGGACTGTCCCCAAAGCCCCTTGTACTCTCAAGTTCTTGCCCAGCCCACTCTCCCTCCATCCTCCTCTCTTCACCTCTACGTGTCACTAAGACTCAGCCCATATCCCTCCACCTTTGCATGCCCTTTTAAAGACTGCATTTTCAAGCATATTTTCTTCCACTGATTTTTTTCAGTAGCATTTTCTATAGCATTTATATGCTCTTTTCTGTAGCACCTTTCTGAAGGAGATTTGGTGTCATTTTTAAACCCTTGAGAGTTTAATGGCCAAATTTCAAATTCCAGCTCTTCCACTTGTTATCTGTGTGACCTTGGGCCTCTCCAACCCCTAGTTTTCACATCTGTAAAATAGGGATAATAACTGTATCTGCTTCGTAGAGTTGTTTTAAAGCTTCTGTGAGATCATCCATATGAACCATAAAGCTTAGTGCCTGGCACATGGTTTGGGCTGAACAATCATGCACATTTATTTTTATTATGACTTCCATTCACTTAGCAGTGAATTGGGAAATGATATACACAAGAATGTATCTCTAAAAGCTTCTCCAACAATTATTGTCCTCTCTTTTATTATTGTTGTTATTCTTCTCTTTTATTATTACTGCTCTCTTTTATTAAATTTAGATTTTCTCTTTTGCTCTGAAATGAATTGCTGCTGATATAACTGCAGCAATAGCAGCTAATACTCTGTTACCCAGAGCCACACCAAGTGTTTTACTATAATTTCTTTCTCACAACAACTTGAGAGAAATACTATTATTGTCTTCATTTTCCAGGTGAGGAAAATGAGTGTCAGAAAAGTTAGGCGGCCTGGCCAACAACATGCCACTTTTGCTGAGTAGCAGAACAAGGATCCACCCAGGACATTTTAGACTCCTGAGCTTGAACTCTTAACCTCTTCATATCTAAACCTTTGAAGGGCATCTGATTTGGCGCAATGTCTTGCATATAAAAGAAGTTCAATAAATGTTCATTAACTGGATGTCTTAGATTTTAGTGTATGTCTCTGTCAAATCATTCCTTGTGGAGTTATAATGACTAGGGTCAGGCAGGTGCAGGGCCCCCTGTGTAAATGGTCTAGTTTCAGCCATAAGTTTCAATCCTGCCTTTTGAAGGGGGCATCCCTACTAATCTTAAGTAATATGAACAGAAGGTCCCAGTACGTATGTTGTGGTTTATTTGGGAGGAGGGACTTCCCAGGCCCACTAAGATGTAATGGTAACCTCAGCTATTTTCTTAGAGTAAGTTCTCTTCTAGTAAACCAGTGACTCTCAAACTTAGCTGCATGTTTACCTCAACTAGAGAGCTTAAAAACTTATTGATGCCTGGGTCTTATCCCAGAGTATAATGTAATTGATGTGGGGTGCAGGGCCGGCAGGATTTTTACAAGCATCCTAGATGATTCTAATGTTCTGCCAGTGTTAAGAGCTCTTCTAAACTGAGGGTTTGCTTCCTGATTGCGTCTCATTAAATGGAAATGAAAAGTGGCAGGTATCATTAATTAATTTGGTGAAGAGCTTGCTGCTGCACCCAGGCTCCTTGCAGACATCAATTAGTTTGGTCACAAATGCACAAAAAAGTTTTGTCAATTCTGGTAGTTGCCCTGAGAATCAAAGCTTCGCCTTAACTCTTTTAGCTGTGTAGTGAGGGGAGTGGCAAATGACTTCACATCTTCTAAAACTTCTGATCAGTCATTCTCTTTTATGCAGTGTGATGAAAAATGCACAAAAGCATATTTTCACATGGGAAAAGCCAACCTGGCCCTGAAGAACTACAGTGTGGTAAGTTCTTAGAGGAATGTAATTGACATGTTTGATCACAGACTGATGCTCCCAGTTGTGCTAGAGGAGAACCATGATTCTCCAAGCTGATTAGGTATCAATCCATCCTTCAGTATTTTCCAAGGTAAAGCTCAAGATCGTAAAGTTGGGAAGAATTTTGGGTGTCAGTTCAGCTCCACCAGTTGTAGGACTCTCTTCTGCAACATCCTCTACCAGTGTCTGTTCAGTCTCTGGAGAGAAAATACATAAGCAAAAAGAGAAAACAAAATTTGCTGTAACCTCATCACCCAAAAGTAACCATGCAGATCAGTCAACCTGTCTCTCTCTCTATCTATCTATCCATCTATCCATACTAAGATATTTTATATCGTTAAAAGTAACTTTATTGAGATATAATTCACATACCACACAATTCATCTGTAGAATGTATAAAAACTATATGATTCAGTAGCTTTTAGTATATTCACAGAGTCAGGCAGCCATCACCACAATCAATTTTAAAAAATTTTCATCCCTTCTTGGACAAACCCTGTACCCATTAGCAGTCAGTCCCCTTCCCCCAGCCCCATCTCAACCTTAGGCAACCACCAGTCTTTCTGTCTCTATACATTTGCCTGTTCTGTAGATTCCATGTAGAGTCATACGATCTGTGGTCTTTTGTAACTGAGGTCATTCACTTAGTATAATGTTTTGCCTGGTACATTTATGTTGTAGTGTGTATCAGTTCTTCGTTCCTTTTTCTTGCTGAATAATATTCCATTGTTTGATACCATGTTTTATTTATTCATCAGTTAACGGACATTTGGGTTGTTTCCACTTTTTGCCTGCTATGAATAACACTGCCATGAACATTCATGTGCAGGGTTTTCTTTTTTATGTTTACTGTCCTCTTGGGTATATATCTAGAAGTGGAATAGCAAGGCCGTATGGTAACTCTGTGTTTAACCTTTTGAGGAACTACCGAACTGTGTTTGAAAATGACTGCAGCATTTTACATTCCTACCAGGAGTGTATGAGGGCTCCAGTTTTTCCACATCCTCTTCAATACCTGTTATCTATTTTTTTGTTGTAGCTATTCTAGTGGGTGTGAAATGATATGTCATTGTGGTATTGATCTGCATTTTTTTGGTGACTAATGATGTTGATGATCTTTTCATGTGCTTATTGGCCATTTATATATTTTCTTTGGAGAAATTTCTTTTTTTTATAATGAGATGTAAATGTCATTTATATATTCTGAATACAAGTTTCTTATCAGATACATGATTTCCAAATATTTTCTTCCACTCCTTGTATTACCTTTTCATTTTCTTGATGATGTTCTTTGCAGCACAAAAATGTTTGTTTGATAAAGCCTCAATTACCTATTTTTTCTTTGGTTGCTTGTGATTTTGGTGTTATATCTAAGAAATGATCATCTAATCCAAGGTCAGGAAGATGTATACCTATATTTTCTTCTAAAAGTTTTATGGCTTAGCTCTTAAATTTAGCTATCTCTAATCCATTTTGAGTTCATTTTTTGTATGATGTGAGGTTGGGGTTCAGCTTCACTCTTTTTCATGTAGATGTCTACTTGTCCCAGAACCATTTGTTAAAGAGACCATTCTTTCCCCCATTGAGTGATTTTGGCACCCTTGTCAAAAATCAATTGACCATAAATATATGGGTTTATTTTTGGTCTTCCAGTTTTATTCCATGGATCTACATGTCTGTCCTTGTGTCAGTACCACAGTGTCTTCATTTTTGTAGCTTTGTATTAAGTTGAGAAGTGAGAGTCCTTCAGCTTGGTTCCTCTACTTTTTCAAGATTGTTTTAGCTATTCTGGTGCTCTTGAATTTCTGTATGAACTTCAAGATTATTGTGTCGATTTTTGCAAAGAAACCGGATGGAATTTTGATGGGTATTACATGAATTCATAAGTCAATTTGGCAAGTACTGCTATCTAAACAATATTAAGTCTTCCTATCCATGAACATAGGATGTCTTTCCATTTATAAGATATGTCTTTAAAATAAATTGCTTCATATTATACATTTTTTAAAAGTTTGTTGGATTTTAATTGTAAATGTAATGCAGGCTTATTGTAATGAAGCTAAATAAAAGAAATATGAATAAAGGAAATGTTAATCTTTCCCTGTCCACCAATTTTTATTTACTCATTCAATTTATTCATTCAGCAGATATTTATTGCATGCTTTCTATGTGTCAGACACTGTTAATACAGGCAATAAAGAATACATCAGTGAAACTAGACAAAGTTCTTGGCTTCATGGAACTCATGTTCTTGGGGTAAGGGTGACCAGGAGACAAAAAACAATCAAATAGATGTGTAGTACGTTACATGCACTATGTTAGATAGTGGTATGTAGTACTGAGAAAAATAAATCAGGAAGCAGTAAAGATGAGACTGGTTTTATATAGAGTGGTAAGAAAAGGCTTTCTAAAGGAATGGAGGGAGTGAAGTGAGCAAACCATGTGGATATATAAGGGAATAAATTCCTGGTGGAGGGATAGCTAGAATGCAGCCAGCAAGAGGAGAGCAACAGGAGATGAGGTCAAACAGGTGATAATGGTGGGGAAGGGGCTGATCCTGTAGGGCCTTACAGGCTTTTCAAAGGACTTTGGCTTTTACTTTGAGTGATCTTCAAGCTTTATTGGAGGATTTTGAGTAAAGGAATTAAATGATCTGACTTATATTTTAAAGGATTACTCTGACTGCTAGACCGAGCATGTGTTTTGGCATGGTAAGATAAGAACAGAGAACGAGTGATAAGGCTATTGCAATAAATATCCAAGCAAGAGGTGATGATGGGGACCAGGTTGGTAGTGACGGAGGTGGTAAGAAGTGATGGGATTTTGAATATTTACTGACAGTGAAGCCAACAAAAATTGTTGCTAGGTTAGATCTAGGGTTGAAGAGAAGTTGGATACAGGGTCACTCTGATGTATAGACTTCTGTTCCTGCGACACTGTTCTCTACTTTAATGTGCTATTTTTTCCTTCAGTTTGTTTCTTAACTCTAGTCTTCTAGACGAACTTTGAACCTTCAAGATTATCTCAGAACTGTTTGTTTGTTTGTTTCTTTTGGGGTGTTTTTTTTTTCTGAGCTTTTTCTCTAGGTGACTGGTTAGATTATACTCTGGGCAGTTCTTATATTCCTGTGAGAAATACAGCACTAAGCCCAGGAATCCCATGAACTAGAATCTTCATTTGTCCCGTAACTTTCTATCTACCAATTTCCTCAATGAGAAGCTCTCACTCTTGAGTTTTCCAGCTGACTCTTATGTGGCCAATAAATGGATCCCTTACTGGTTCTCTTCACAGCCTGTACATTTAACTAGGCAGTTCTCTTTTCCTATTCCCGAGTCTCTGTCAACATTTTCTCTAGTTTCATTTATTTCCTAACTCCCTATGGACATATCTGACAGCCTTCTGTGCTCTCTCAGTGCAAATATCATATCTAAGTTTTGCATTTACTTTATGATTATTTCTATCCCAGACAGACATGATCCACAAGAATTTAAGACTGGATATTTTTCATCATGAGCATCTAACAACACTGTTTCTTTAAAACGAATTTTGAAATAATACCTGTTGCCCCCTAGAACTGGAGAAGCCTGAACAAAATGTCAAATGCACACTGTGTTCCTGTGCCTGCCTCCTGCACTGGGAGCAGGAGGAGGCGTGGAGAAAATAATGAAGCAGCCAAGCCCAATGACACCCATTGTCTTTCTCATAATCACGTTTACCCCAACCACTCTTCAAGGTCTTGTTTCTTTTTTCTAGTCTAGAGAGTGTTATAAGAAGATCTTAGAAATAAACCCCAAGCTGCAAACCCAGGTGAAAGGTGAGTATGTTCCTGCTGAGACCCCTTGTCTGAACTCCACCTCCCTCTGCCTCCTGCCTTAGAATGCCTTCCGTGCTTTCACTGCTCTTGGCCACAAGGCAGCAGCGGATCCTCTTTCCTGCACAGTTCAGTCTTCTGTGTTAACTGGCCCACTCTGCTCCTCTGCTTGCTGTAATCCCTTGCAAATATTAATATTTGCCTTCTTCATTTTCTACACCATCCTCCCTTAGACACTTTTAGACTCCCTTGAATCTCCAACAAGGTTTAAGATTCTGGTTGTAGATGTAGACTGTTTCTAAAATTTTCCTTGCTAAAGAAGAGTTTTAATTATTTTAATGCTTTATGCTTCTCAAACTCCCATCCTCAAAAGAAAGTAAAAAAAAAAGGTTGCCTCTTGTGTGGTATTGTTGACTGTTAGGGTTTTGTTTTGCTTTTCCTTTCTTGTTTTTCTAGATTACCTGAATCAAGTAGATCTTCAGGAAAAAGCAGACCTTCAAGAAAAGGAAGCCCATGAACTGCTGGATTCAGGAAAGAACACAGCTGTGAACACCAAGAACCTCCTGGAGACCCTTTCCAAGCCTGACCAGATCCCCTTGTTCTATGCAGGGGGGATTGAGATCCTGACTGAAATGATAAAGGAGTGTAAGCCAGAGATGTGTGTGATCTCACGAGTGCTGTCAGTGTGAAGGGACATGTTCAGAGGTCTGCCCTCAAGAATCCCTCCCTTTCTTCCGCAAATATTGATTGAGGATGTACTCGTAATGTAGCTGCTAAAAGGGGTGCACAAGAATGTCCTCCCGCCTCTGCTCCGTCCTCTTTACAGAGCGTGCGTACACTCAGCACACATGTAAGAAACATACACAACACAACACATACACATGGCACACGCTCCATATATACTTACATACGCCACACATGCGCTCAGCTTTCACTCACTTGAATATATCCTTATATTACGCACACACCACATACCGCACACAGCACACTCACACCATAAGTACTGATGTCAGTCCACATATCTTGCGCACACTCCACCCTCACATTTTCTCCACACACCCCATGCACATCCTGCATGTACTCCACATACACCCCCACAGGCACCTCAAGCATCCCATACCACCTCGCACACTTTCCCTCCACTGTGGAGGAATGGAAGACAGAATTTTATAGGTTAAACTGTAAGGTTCACCCAGTTACACTGATGGCTGCTTAGGATGTGAAAATGGTTTCAGAGCAAACATCAGCTCTCCTACTAATGAGGGTCATACTGTTTTCTTTTACTAGCTCTTGTAAACATTGTTACCAAGGCTTAAATAATCTCTATACTCAGTGACAGCATGTTGTTTGTACAAATAGATGGAGTGTCTGACTTCTTTTTAGTGTACAATGGAGGGCATACAAATACCCCCTTTAGCAGTTTCTTGGAGATTATAAATTCCTCTCTAGAGCCTGGAAATAGCTTTGAAATAAATATTTAAGAACAAATGGATATGCTGGTACTTCCCATAGGTTAAGCAGCTCTGGGAAGCTCTCTAAAGATTACAGAATGATGAGCTGTGCAGATAGCCCTTGTGGGTACCCCAGCTCTGTTCTCCTTCTCTAAACAGCCCCTCTACCTGAGAGGCACTGAGGCCTCTGACACTGAGAGGTTGCTGACAATTGTATTTTTCCAAATGTAAAGTTGATTTGTTTCTGCCAAACCATTCATGTGGGCACCGTGACATTCCATATTAGGTTTCTCATTAGCAGGTGGCTGTGTCGCAGCTAGACACCAGCCAGCCAGTTTGGGAGTCTAAAGTGGTTTTCTCTGTATCTGTTTCAGGCACAGAACAAACTTTATTCAGAATGCACAATGGATTTAGTATCATCAGTGACAACGAGGTCATAAGAAGGTAGGGATGTTCATGAAGACAGCCCAGCATCAAAGCAAGGGAAGATAACCACTTCTTATGAAATCAGACACGAGGCATATAGACAGTCACATTTCTGAACATTACCACCCTTCAATCAGTAGTGGGGGGCTCTCCAGGAGTGCACAGCTACTACACAAACATCTTTGAGTGCTGGCCTTAAAGTCACTGGAGTTACACTGCAGTTAACAATTGAGGCTGGGCACGGTGGCTCATGCCAGTAATCCCAGCACTTTGGGAGGTCAAGGCGGGCGGATCACTTGAGGTCAGGAGTTTGAGACCAGCCTGGCCAACATGGTGAAACCCCGTCTCCACTGAAAATACAAAAATTAGCTGGGCATGGTGGCGGGCACCTGTAATCCCAGCTGCTCGGGAGGCTGAGGCACAAGATCACTTGTATCTGAGGGGTGGAGGTTGTAGTGAGCCGAGATCACGCTACTACACTCCAGCCTGGGTGATACAACCAGATTCAGTCTCAAAAAAAAAAAAAATTTAAGAGAGAGGAACAGCAGCACTTCCCAGGGCTCCTCTAAGCTCTTCAAAGTCGGAGAAATTATCATTCTTGCTGCTTTCCCACCAGTTTTTGCAAGGTTGTCATTTGTTTATTTCTTCTTTTGGAATTTGCTGATCATATCAAGAGTGATATAAATGTAAATGGCCCAATCCCATTTATAATTTCATCTGAAGAAAGACTTGTATGGTAGGAGGCAGTTTGCTGAAGTGACTGTATTTTAATTTCAGTCGTTCTGGTGTGCTTCCTGAGGCTTAGGATACCGGTGTGGGTTGGAGTCACCAGTACGTGTCTTGTGTTCTCAGCCACAGTTCATTGGTCCCAGTGCAGCCATCACCCATGGCACTGGCTCACTGCCTAGCCTCTGTACAGCCCAGGCTTCCTCAGTCCGCGTCCTTGGCCTGGGACTCATGGTTCCATGATTGATCGTGGTGACCCATGGCTCTGGATTATAAAACTATACTTTCTGAAACCTGCATTTGGCGAATCTCAGGATGAAATAAAACCAAATGGAAGAGAAAATCAAGGGTGATTTTCAGACTTTTAAGATAGCCCTCCTTTGTCCATTCTAGGTGTTTTTCCACAGCAGGAAAAGATGCAATTGAAGAGACGGTCTGTGTGTCTGTTCTCAAGCTCTGGCAAGCAGTGTGCTGTGGGAACGGTAAGCCTGGGTAATCACCATGATCACCATTAATGCGCTGCGTGCAAGGGAGTCCGCTGTTGGGCTGACTGTCTTCCCCAAAGGCCAGGCCCTGGAGAGTTGATGTCTAGACTTCCCCACACACTCGCTCCCTCCAGGAAAGCTTATGGATCAAAAGCAAGGTAGACAGATGAGGGGTGAGGTCAATGAAGGGAGGAGGTTGTCAGCATAATGAGTGGTCTCCTCTCTCCTCTCCTCCTGCTCTTTGCAGACTCATGACTTCTGTTCGTGCACTGGCAATGAGGTAGATGGAGTTCTTCTTTTCTTGTCAGCCTAAAATATTGTTCCTTTTTGCTAACCACAGTACCTTTCCAGCATCCTGAGATTTATAGTCATCCCCGCCGGTATCTTCAGACACTAATTAGCGTCTAGTATTGAGATAGTAGAATGCCACGGGCATTTTATTTACTGGGCTAACACTTAGGCTTTTTGCATATTTGCATCTTCCAGGGTTCATTACATTTTTGTATAATCTTTCTTAATCTCTTTTGTAACTTCAATGTAAATACAAATTTTAGTTACTTCTGTCATTTTTAAGAAGTGTGTTTCATAGGAAAAAGTTTGACGCTGGACAGAAACACTGAAAATGGGGATAATAATAGCTATGTCTCCTTTTCACAGGGCGACTGTGGGGAGCCAGCGATAGAGCTTGTGAATGCAGTTTGTATACTCTGAGATGTTAAGTAGGAGATAATGCCTTTTTTTTTCTTTTTTAGTAGAGTAGAGGAATCAAGAACTTAAGAAATTAAACTCTTGAAAATCTAGACAATTGGGGGGCCTATTTCCTGACAAGGATTAAGGGGAATTATGCCCAGACTACTATCATCATCAAGGTGCCTTGCTACTCTGTGTAAGACCCTGCACCAGCTTAGGGCAGTGTTTTTGCAAACTCCCCTACAGGAGGGTGAGGAAGGCAGGACTTGGCGATGGTATGTCTACTCAGTGTGAACCTGACATAACAATCTATTTACTCTATTTCTGTGAACCTATTTATTGTTTCTGTGAACCTTACAGTTACATTTTTTTATCATCTGAAAAATATTTTCAGATACCTGTGATGTAAATGCTGTGTCTCAGGTCAATAAAATCTTGATATATCTAACTCAATAAATGCAAAGCAGTTTTTCAAAAGGGCAAGGGAATGCTTAAAAGTAAGGAAGTGAAAATATGTCAGTGATCTATTGTGGAGTGGGGAAGAGAAGCCAATTACAGGGTAGGATGTATATTTTACACATTATTTATATGAGAGGTGAATAATACCTCCTTTGGGGAATGGGCTTACCTGGAGGGGTATCAACTAACTCTGTGTTGTTTGAATTATTTATATCAAGCTACTTTTCTAGTATAAGAAAAAAATATATAATCAACAAGGACCTTTTCATTTCAGAAATCAGTAGATCCTATCTTACATGGACAAGAGTAATTATAGGTGAAGTGTGGGACTGAGATGTAACGTTTGCAACGAAAACATGGTTTGATATGTGGGCTACACATAGGATCCTGCAGTCCTGTTACTCCAGCTTTTTCAGGGCAAGCAGAAACCTGGTGTGTGTCTTCTCCTGGATGCTGTGTGCTGTGTGTAAATGGGCAATTAGCACAGGAGGGGAGAGAGCCTAGGGTAATGAGGTCCATGTGATGGGACCCACCCCTTTGAGAGCCAGTTTGCTCTGTTTCACAGCTTTGCCTCTTACTGCAGTCTGTACCCTGCAGTTTCAAACAAATACATGTACCTGGTCAGAAAATGAAGCAGATGAAAGGGGATAAATCTACTGCCACCACCGTGGAAGAGCTTATGTTCTAGGAAGGAGGGCACACTTTATTCTTTAATGCTCTCATGTGATATTTTAGTTTCCTGGATAACATTTCCTCAAATGACCACTGTAGCCATTGTGTGAATATTGATGGTCTAAAGACATTCCACAATTAAACTGATTTATTTCCCTTTGCTAGTGTTTCCAGATACCACACACCAAGGAGGCTTGACAATAATAATGACATAGTTGATTTCTGGTTGCCAGTCCCTGTCTGGCACAGTCACGTACTGATTCATTTAATCCTCATGACGTCCCTGTAGGTAGGAACGTAATCCTCGTTTTACTGATGAGGAGACCAAGGAGCACTGGTAAGGTCACTCCCCTGGGCATTCAGACCCAGCAGTCTGGTTCTAGAATCCACACTCTTACACTTCATTATCCTGCCTTCAAATGAGTGGGCACCAGTTGAGTTTCCCATTAGGAGAGAGGGCGACAGAGCTAGTTTAATTGCCGTGATGGCACGCACAAGACACACAACGCCTGTGTTTTGCAGAGGAAAATCAGCGTGTGCTAGTGATGCACCCTGACAGGGCCAGGCTGTTGGCCACCCTCTTGTCCTCCAAGGTCCTGGCCATCAGGCAGCAGAGCCTTGCCCTGCTGCTACAGCTCGCCCAGACTGAGAGCGGACGGAGCCTGATCATCAGCCACCTTGACCTTACCAGGTAAGCCTCTGCTGGCAGGATCTTCCTGGGACATCTCGTGTCATCACTTGACAAGTTCAGGCGTGCCTGTCTCCCCCTTATATCTCTGATGTGTGACTTGAAGGATCAGTAACAGAAAGAGCCTTTGACAAGAGTGCTCTGTCATGAGGACCTCTGAGACAGACTCCTGTCTGAACTTGGTACCATGGACAGTTTCAATTCTCCTGAGCAACTGGCTTGTCCCCATCCCATAAATGGTGCAAATGGCAGCCCTTCCATAGCCAGATCAGGAGCCCCACCTTAAAATAGGTTACTTGCTTCTGTGCCTTTGGCCTCGGTCCTATCTCTACCTTGTTCCTACCCTTCCTTTTCTTCTTTCATTCTTATTTGAGGTAATCCTATCTTATTCTATGTGTCCTTAAACCCTTTCTGGAACAAGATGCACTATGAATAAATAAAACATTTCAAATACTGTTAAATGGAGGTCTTTCCAAAGTATAAGACTATGAGCATAGAATGTGTGTCCCCTAAGTAGACTTTCTAGAAAGATTACTGAACCACAGTGATTCCGCCCAGTTCTTTATAATTTATTACTTCATTTTTAAATTATTTATTTATTTGTTATTTTGCTCACTTGTTTTACTTATTCATTTATTTACTTTTATTAAGTTTTCAGTTTATCTTTACATGATTAGTTTGAACATATGAAATTGTCACTTATTAGATCTAAAAGGTTGCATGCCCGCCATTTCATGTGGTTCAATCTAACAGAAACAGTGGCGATTATTGTAACTTGCTTTATAAATGTTTCTCACACAATCTAAAAACAGGAGATTACCCTTCTGAGTTTTTTTGTTCACTGCTATTTTGTTTTATCTCCCCTCATGCTGCGAGGTAGGCAAGGTAAGCTTTATTACCTCATGTCACTCATGGGGCAGGAAGAACTATAGCAAGGAACCACGGGAATCTCACCCAACTAGCCTAGCCCCCAGGTACTGTTCTGAGGACCCAGCTCCACTCTGTGTTCTCAGTAGGAAAAGGAGCCAGACCTGCTGCAGCTGGCTCCTGTTCCTTCCAGATCTTTTTAGGACCCTGCTGAGCCCTCCCACACGGTCCAATTTGGTGTGGAGGTCCATGTGTGCCGTGACAGGGTGGTTATTAAGCCTTGCCTACGGCTCCCCTTCCAGGCCCAGTCGCAGCCGCAGTGGCTCCCGGGAAAGGCTTTGGCAAGCCACTGAAGCTGAGGCTGCGCGGCAGATGCAGATTGTTAGTGGACTTAAATTCCCCAAAAGCACATTTCGCATTTCAAATGACTGCAGTCATTTCCTCAATACCTTCATCGCATTTTTTTAATATTGTTTTTGTCTCTTTGAGTAAATGTAGCTATAGCTATCATGGGCTTTTCCCCTCAAGCTATCTTTGAATTGCTTGAGTTTCAATGTGCATTTTTCCAGTGTCTCGCAGAGTGGCGTTCACGATCACCTCGTGTGGTCCTGCCTACTCTCTTTAGACAGTCAGAGAAACCTCAACTTTTTACTTTTATGCCCACTAGCCTCCTTAACGTGCATCTCCAGTTGAACCAGACAGAATGGGTTCTCTGTGATGAAATGAGGCAGTTTGAAGCAAGACAGGGCTGCGCATAGCCCCATGACCGTCACGGCAGCACACTTATCACATTCCTCCCACAATGCTTATCCTCAGAGAAGAGGTTGAAGGCATGAATGTGTGCTGGCCAAAGACCAGTGTCATTTTGTCAGAAGTGCTGGGTTTTAGTCTTAAGCAGTACTGAGCTTCAATTCCCTGCATGTCTCTGCTTGTGTGACCCAGGCACTGACGGGCCCTGGCATCTCATCTGCATCACTCACTTACGATGACACTTACAGGGGGTGATGCAGTTGAATTTTTTCTGCTGCATTATGCAGAATACTTGAGCGAAAGGAGCTTAAGCAAAATAAAGCCTGGCTTGTTTTTTCACCTAATAAAATGAGACTAAAGATAGCAGCTGTTGGTGCAGGGGCTTAAAGATGTCGAGGTCAAAGTCTGTGCCCTTCTCTTGACCTTCCTCACATGGTCATACCTTCCCTCTTGCTGCAACTCCAAGCTTCACATCCTCCTTTAAGACAGGTCAGCACCAGCTGGATCTGTCCCTTTTATCAAGAAAAGCTACTGCCTATTTCTCTTTGGACAGAATTTTGTCACATGCTACCCCTAGTGGAAAAAAAAAATGATCCCAGCTTCTTCTGTGGTAGAGTTAGGAAGAATAGAAGGGAATGGAGAATATCTGTGGGGTTAGCCAGCAAACAGCATCTGCTATAGAAAAAAAAAACAACAACAACTAACATCAAGCAAGCCTGACACATGGTATGATAGGGGCTCAATATTTTTATAATCATTTTCTCTTAGGGAATATTGTTCAGGGTCCTAAACTGAAGTAACCATGCATTTATTGGTTACATGAAAGCTTTTTCTGACCTGTGGTTCACTCACAGAGACAGTTGCTTATCAGCAGAGCAGAAAATCTGCCACCATAAAAGAGGGTATGTGAGGAAATAGAAGGGATACACCGTCCTCTATGGGTGCTGAGTCCAGTTAGGATGTGTGCATTGTCACATAGAGAGGGGGGCTAGCTGTTTATGTCTCTCAGGACAAAGCCAAGATGGTCTTAGGCTATTGTCTCATCTGTGCTATTCAGGTTCATTAGCATTTATTTTCAAGACTGAAGAAAATAGGTTTAAATTGGTGAAGGAAGAATCTGAACTGACTGTAAAACAAATAGTTTTTGACAGCAGGAACACTGGAATCCGTTTCTGAAGATGTTAGGATTTGCAGAAGCTCGGTGTCACCTGGGCCCTCAGAAACCATCCAGTCAAGCCCCACTCAGCATAGATGTCCTCTGCATACCCCCATACAGCCTGTGCATCATGCCCTCCAGGGGAGATGCCAGCAGTTTTCATTATTTTTATCTCCATTTGATTCGGGATGGGCACTAACGCAGCTAATAGACTGGGTGGAGGAAGTCTGTCCCCAGTTAGTGAGAGGCTGTGGGTCTCACCTCCCAAGGTAGCCAACTGTCCATTTCAGGACAGTTCTGATTGATATAAATTATCTCCTTATACTGTGCGTAAGTTGCCTGCCCCATACTATTCTGGGGTTGATTCTGCCTCCATACATTGAGGCCCAGGCCCAGACTCCTTCCAGCTTTCCAGTACTTTAGGTATCTGAAAATACTGATATATTTCAGGTTAAGCATCCTTGTTACCTCCATCATTCCTTTGATGATTTGGCCTCCAGACCACTCCTAGAATAAGTGGCTAAATAGATCCAGCACCATAGATATGGGTGACTGGAGTTCATATTCCCAAAAGCCCAGTCTGATAGCCTGTCATCTGTCTTTCTTAAAGATGTCAAGGTCAAAGTCTTCACCCTTCTCTGTCCTGTGGCATTTGGTCCTATTGATCACTACTCTTCTTGAAATTCCATCACAGTGATTGTCAGGACGCCATCCTTCCTGGCCCCCCTCCTACCTCCTGGCTATTCCTTTGTGGTTTCCTTTGCAAGCCCCCCTATGCTATCACCCTTCCAAGTCAGGGACCCTGGGATCCTACCCTTGTCCCTCTTCCCATCTATGGCTTTCATCAAGAAGCAAAGGGTGTAAGTCTCACTCTGCTGAGTGTGAGATGAAAATACCCTTCTGCTACTGGACATCTCTATCACAACATCCACAAGTATCATTGACTTAATAAATCAAAACGTGGTCTCACACCAGTTCATCTACCTGAATTTCCTGTCTTCATAGAGGGTATCTCCGCCTATCCAGTCGCCTAAGCCAATGTCCTGGAAGTGACCTGGCTCTCCCTCACCACATCCATAAGATAGTATGCTGCCAGCTCTTTCTCCTTAGCATCTCCTGAATTCATTTTCTTCTAGTTCTCATCTACTCTCTCCAGTCATTTCTTCCAGGTCTTCGTGAGCGTCTCTTTGTGTTTTTACGGTGCTTCTTACTCTGCTGCTACCTCAGTCTGGTCCCTTAGCCTTTATTGTCTGAACAATCACAGTTCTCCCCTGGTTGAATTCCTGCCTCCTGTACTACCTGCTCCAATCCAGCTTCCACCGTACACTGAAGGGATTTTTCTAAAATGCACATTTGTTCTGCTATTTTCCTACTTAACTCACTGAAATAACTTCCTTGTAAGGCTGGTTCTCCAATTACTGAGAAATATAATGGCTAGGAATCACATGAGGACTTCATGAAAAAGCAGCCTCCTGGAGCCTCCTCCCACTCAGACTGACTGAGGAATCTGTCCCGGAGACCCCCACCACCAACCACACATTGGAGAACAGGGGCCTACAGGGCAAAGTACAGACTTTCCAGCAGGCCCTAGAAGGCCCCCAGGATCTGGGCTCTGTCCAGTTCTCTACTGTCCCCTGTTTTCCCCTCACATCCTAAGTATTAACTGCATGCCAGCAGTCCCCAAATGTGCTCCTGCAATTCTATGCCCACGTAGTCTGGGACTGCAGGTGGCTTTGCCTGACATGCCTCTGTACCCGTCCCCGTGGGCCTGACACTGGCCTGCAAGCTGCCTGGAACCAGGACATTTTCTTGTTTCATTGTTAGGACCCCAGAACCGACCACATTGCCTGGCACGCAGTCAGTGCTTGTTCATTGTGATTGGTCAAATGGATAAACGAATGAATAGCTAACACTATACTTCAAGAGACACTGAAGTGTCATCTATTGAAGGCTTCTTCACTTCCATGCCCACACCTCCCACCAGCGAGACTCTGGTCCCCTCAACATGTGTCTGTTTCTAACATATCACCTAAGACAGTTTATCTTATTTATTTACATATGTATCACTGTAGGAGACCAGGAGCTCAGTACTGAGCACAGTATACTTAGCACCTTGTAGATGCTTAATGCAAGTTTGCTGGATGAACAAATTCCTCTTACTTCCATTGTCGTGGTGCCAGTAAGTCCATTTGGGTAGCCTGAGATTGTATCAGGTGTTTTTGGCATCTGTGTTAGACTGTTTGCTCATTTTGTGTTTGTAAGTGGCTAAAAATCCTTAAATATTTCTCATATGAACCAGTTACAAACCAGGTCTCACAATTCTGTTACTTATGCAGAATTTCCAGCTCTAAGTGGAAGACTTTGAGCTTAACCCTATTAAATTTAATCTAATATATTCAGCAGCCTGTCACAATCTTGTTAAATCTTTATTCCATCACCCACCTTATTAGGGGGCCCTCCCACTTTAGTCATCAGCAGATTAGTAAGCATGCCATTTAGATGTCATCTAAGTTAATGAACTTGACTGAGCCAGAGTCACATGGCAGAGTCCCAGAAACTCCTTCTGAGCTGGCGTCCGATAATCAATAAACTTTGGTTAAAAGTATTCAGCATTCTGGGGATTCACATTAAGTGGTGGAGCCAACCACTTAAGAGTGTCTGTTTCCGGGTGGGCAAGGAGCTAGGCTTCCTAGGAGGGCATGGCAAGGCACCCTTTCTGCTTATTTTACCCGGATGCTGACTGCTTTTTGGTTTCCTTGCAAGGTTACCCTGTTGGGATGTTGTTAGTTGGAGGACAGCTACCTCTGAGGTTATTATGGTTTTTTGCAGATTATTGGAAGCCCTGGTGTCATTTCTTGATTTCTCGGATAAGGAGGCCAACACTGCTATGGGACTGTTCACAGACTTGGCTCTGGAAGAAAGGTAATTTTTTTTATTTATAGAAATTGACATTTCTTCTTCAGTCTTTGTTGAACTGTCTGATCTTTAAAAATGTGCCGTATTCAGAGAGGCCAGGCCAAGTCTCCAAGTGAGTATTGCAAGATTCACTGAGAAGGAGGGCTGATGCCTCCCAGGGGGCTGTGGCCACCCACTCCCATTCTAGTCACTCTGCCTAGAGGCTGACCTGGGCCTCCATGGGTTTGGAAGCAGCAGCATACTTAAAGCAGTGCCTCTCACAGTAGGCAAGCCTCCACAGTGTCGGGAACCTTCCTTCCTTCTAATCAGTGCCTGGTACGTAGGAGTTGCCCAGCAAATTCGCGTTGAATGAACCTGAGTGAGCCAGTGAGCCAGCAAGCAAGAATGAACAGTCAAATGCAGCCGCCTCTGGGGTGGCCAGTGACATCATGAGTAACGACCTCCTTCTGCCCCATGGCTTTGTGTTGTTTTGTCTTGTTTTGCCTGGCTGCTGGGGATGATAGTAAGGGTCTTAGTTTTCATAATTTTTCAAGAGCTTTTTTTTAAAGTGCATCTTGTGTTTTAAATTTCCTTACAAATTTTAGGACACCTTGCTTAAAGATGGTAATGGGATGAGAGAGCTGCTTGTGCTCACAGGCAGGCCAGCCAGCTGGCACGGGCCGGGGTATGGAACAGTGGCTGTAGCGTGTGGAGATGCACATGCATCCAGGCCCTCCCAGTGGCTCCGATGGGTAAACATGCTTGCACGGTATTTGCCTTCCGCACAGCACACACATGCTGTAGACTCAGAGCAGGGGTTGGGAGTAAGTCAGCTTGGCAGAAGCCTAGAGATTCCAGCAACCCCTGCTTAAGGGAGCCACCATCTGAGATCTGTTGTTTAACATCAAAGGCAATTCTCCAGACTCAGAAAAATTAAAGCCACATTACATACATAGTGACATGTTTTTTTCTGTTTTTGTTTCTGAATTCTCCATGCACAGTCTAAATCATATGGACCTAGAGTTTACAACATTAATTATCTGAGACACTGTATTTATGTTACAGTTTATGCAATGTAAAAATAAATCCTGGCTGATGGTTTCTCGACAGATTCCAAGTCTGGTTCCAGGCCAACCTTCCAGGTGTTCTCCCTGCACTCACAGGCGTTCTGGTGAGCAAACCCTCATTTTCACCCTCTGTGACAGACACTCTCAGCAGCGTGAATGGGGCTGTTTAAACACAGTTTACAATCCAGAACAACTATTGTCTCTCGGTTGAGTAATCATTTATTCACAGCTGGAATTTACACAATTGTCAGTTATTGAAACAGCTACAGTAGGGACAGGTGGAGGTGGCATATGGATGGCGCTGGTTACAGGGGAGGAAAAGCTGGATATGGGTGGCATCTTAAGTGAAGGTGGATAGAGTTCATCAGTCTCCATCAGTCCCCTGCTGACAATAAGTTCGATGTGCAACGCTGTTCCCAAATGGAAGTCATCCTGTCAGGAGGACTAGTATAGCAATTTGAGCTGATAAGGCAGTGAATAGTGTCGGGGGCAGGGCTTCTCCTTGGAGAGTGTGTTGCAACTGAAGCCTGTCCCTATTGAACCTTAGAAGTTTCAGGGGCCCTTAGAGAGCATAACCACACCCCAGCATGCCACAGCTGTGGAAATGAGCCTCTAAGAAGGGAAGGGATTTGCCCAGGTCCTCCCAGCTGGTTGATGGAGGAGCTGGGATTAAGCCCTAGGCCAAGACCCTTTTGGGTCTACCCCTCTATGTGCCTCCATCCTGTTGCCAGTGTGACCCCAGGGATGCCCCTGTGTGACATGAAGCTATCTGGTTGGTTCGTGGGCCTTTCGGTGAGTGGGGAATTCACCAAGAGATCATGCGGCATCCTTTGCCTGCTCTCTGAGGCTCTGCCTTCTTTCGATTCTCATTTAGAAGACAGATCCCAAGGTAAGCAGCTCCTCAGCTCTGTGCCAGTGCATTGCCATCATGGGAAACCTCAGCGCTGAGCCTGCCACCCGAAGACACATGGCAGCCTGTGAGGAATTTGGGGATGGCTGCTTGAGCCTCCTGGTATGTTAGCTTTTCTCTTCATAATTGGTCTTTATCCTCTTCGGGGGCATTAGCTGCTGCTTAGTTATCTGGCTTTTCCAGAAATTCTGTTTCTGTGAGTGCTGGATGGCGCCAGTGGCTTCTCCCTTCTGTTACCTCGGATTTTATGCGCTGCTGGCCTTAAAGAGCCCCCCAGATCAAGTCTCATTCGCCTTGGGGAGATTTGAAGGATTTTCTTTGTTAATTTTTAAAAATTATTTATTTATTTATTTATTTATTATTTAACTTTTAAGTTCAGGAGTACATGTGCAGGTTTCTTATATAAGTAAACTTGTGTCACGGGAGTTTGTTGTACAGATTATTTCGTTACCCAGGTATTAAGCCTAGTACCAATTATTTATTTTTCCTCATCCTCTCCCCCTTCCTCCCACCCTCCACCTTCTGGCAGGCCCCAGTGTGTATTGTTCCCCTATGTGTGTCCACGTGTTCTCATCTTTTAGCTCCCACTTACAGGGAAGAACATGTAGTACTTAGTTTTCTGTTCCTGCATTAATTTGCAAGGGATAATAGCCTCTAGCTCCACCCATGTTCCTGCTAAGGACATAATCTCATTCTTTTTTATGACTTAATGGTATTCCATGGTGTATATGTACCACATTTTCTTTATCCAGTCTATCATTGATGGGCATTGAGGTTGATTCCATGTCTTTGCTATTGTAAATAGTGCTGCAGTGAACATATATGTGCATGTGTCTTTATAATAAAAATATTTCTATTCCTTTGGGTATATACTCATTAATGGGATTGCTGGGTCAAATGGTATCTCTGTTTTAGGTCTTTGAGGAATAGCCACACTGTCTTCCACAATGGTTGAACTACTTGATGCTCCCACCAACAGTGTATAAGTGTACCTTTTTCTCTGCAGCCTTGCCAGCATCTGTTATTTTTTGACTTTTTAATAATTGCCATTCTGACTGGTGTGAGATGGTATCTTATGGTTTTGATTTGCATTTCACTAATGATATCAGTGATACTGAACTTTTTTTCTTGTGCTTGTTGGCCATCTGTATGTCTTCTTTTGAAAAGTATCTCTTCATGTCCTTTGCCCACTTTTTAGTGGGGTAGTTTATTTTTCTCTTGTACATTTGTTTAAATTCTTTATAGATGCTGGATATTAGACCCTTCTCAGATGCATAGTTTGCAAAAACTTTCTCCCATTCTATAGGTTGTCTGTTCACTCTGTTGATAATTTCGTTTGCGGTGCAGAAGCTCTTTAATTAGATCCCATTTGTCAGTTTTTGCTTTGGTTGAGATTGCTTTTGGTGTCTTTGTCATGAAATCTTTGCTCGTTCCTGTGTGTAGAATGGTATTACCCAGGTTATCTTCCAGGGTTTTTATAGTTTTGGATTTTATATTGAAGTCTTTATTCCATCTTGAGTTAATGTTTGTATATTGCGTAAGGAAGGGGTCCAGTTTCAATCTTCTGCATATGACTAGCCAGTTATCCCAGTATCATTTATTAAATAGGGAATCCTTTCCCCATTGCTTGTTTTTATCAGGTTTATTGAAGATCAGATAGTTTTAGGTATGCGGTCTTATTTCTGGGTTCTTTATTCTGTTCCATTGGTCTATGTGTCTCTTTTTATATCAGTACCATGCTGTTTTGGTTACTGTCGCCCTGTAAGTATAGTTTGAAGTCGGGTAACGTGATGCCTCCAGCTTTGTTCTTTTTGCTTAGGATTGCCTTGGCTATTCGGGCTTCTTTTTGGTTCCATATGAATTTTAAAATAGTTTTTTCTAGTTCTGTGAAGAATGTCAATGGTAGTTTAATAGGAATTGCATTGAATCTATATATTACTTTAGGCAGTATGGCCATTTTAACAATATTGATTCTTCCTGTCCATGAGCACAGAACGTTTTTCCATTTGTTTGTGTCATCTCTGATTTCTTTGAGCTGTGTTTTGTAGTTCTTCTTGTGGAGATCTTTCACTTCCCTGGTTAGCTTTATTCCTAGCTATTTTCTTTTGGTGGCAATTGTAAATGGGATTCTATTTCTGATTTGGCTCTTGGTTTGACTGTTGTTGGTGTATAAGAATGCTAGTGACTTTTGTATGTTGATTTTATATCCTGAGACATTGCTGAAGTTGTTAATTAGCTTCAGGAGCTTTTGGGCCAAGACTGTGGTTTTTTCTAGATACAGGATCATGCCGTCTATAAACAGAGGTAGTTTGACTTTTTTTCTTCCTATATAGATGCCCTTTATTTTCTCTCTTGCCTGATTGCCACGGCCAGGACTTCTAATGCTATGTTGAATAGGAGTGGTGGGAGAGGGCATCCTTGTCTTGTGCTGGTTTTCATGGGGAGTGCTTCCTGCTTTTGCCCGTACGTATGATGTTAGCCATGGGTCTGTCATAGATGGCTCTTATTACTTTGAAGTATGTTCCTTTAGTACCTAGTTTATTGAGAGTTTTTAACATGAAGAGGTGTTGAATTTTATCAAAAGCCTCTTCTGCATCTATTGAGATAATCACATGGTTTTTGTTCTTAGTTCTGTTTATGTGATGAATCACGTTTACCTATTTGCATGTGTTGAACCAACCTTGCATCCCAGAGATAAAGCCTACTTCACTGTGATGGATAAGCTTTTTGATGTGCTGCTAGATTTGGTTTGCCAGTATTTTGTTGAGGATTTTTGCGTCAGTGTTAATCAAGAATATTGGCCTGAAGTTTTCTCTTTTTTGTTGTGTCTCTGCCAGGTTTTTGAATCAGGACGATGCTGGTCTCATAGAATGAGTTAGGAAGGAGTCCCTCTTCCTTGATATTTTGGAATAGTTTTAGCAGGAATAGTCCCACTTCTTCTTTGTACATCTGGTAGAATTCAGCTGTGAATCCAGCTGATCCTGGGCTTTTGTTAGTTGGTAGGCTATTTATTACTGACTCAATTTCAGAGCTCATTATTGGTTTGTTCAGGGATTCAGTTTTTTCCTGGTTCAGCCTTTGGATGGTGTATGTGTCCAGAAATTTATTCATTTCTTCTCAATTTTCTGGTTTATGGGCAGAGAGGTGTTCATAGTATTCTCTGATGGTTGTTTGTATTTCTGTGGGGTCAGTGGTGATATTCCCCTTGTTGTTTCTGATTGTGTCTATTTGCATTTTCTGTCTTTCCATTTTTTTTAGTCTAACTAGTGGTCTACCTATTTTATTAATTTTTTCAAGAAACCAGCTTTAGAATTTATTGATCTTTGGAATGGGTTTTTGTGTCTCAGTCTCCTTCAGTTCAGCTCTGATTTTGGTTATTTCTTGTCTTCTGCTAGCTTTAGGATTTGTTCGCTCTTAGTTCTCTAGTTGTTTTAGTTGTCATGGTAGGTTGTTAACATGAGATATTTCTAACTTTTTAATTAGGAATATCTGTTAGGGCATTTAGTGTTATAAATTTCCCTCTTAACACTATCTTACCTGTGTCCCAGAGATTCTGGTATGTTGTATCTTTGTTCACATTAGTTTCAAAGAACTTGTTGATTTCTGCCTTAATTGGTTTATTTGCCCAAAAGTCATTCTGGATCAAGTTATTTAATTTCCATGTTGTTACACAGTTTTGAGTTCATTTCTTAGTCTTAATTTCCAATTTGAGTGTTAAGGTTTCAGTTATTTTGCATTTGCTAAGGACTGTTTTACTTCCAAATATGATTGATTTTAGAGTAAGCACTATGTGGCAATGAGAAAAATGTATTTTCTGTTGTTTTCATTTTGAGAAATCTGTGTATGTACATCAGGCCCATTTGATCCAGTGCTAAGTTCAGGTCCTGAATATCTTCATTGATTTTCTATGTCAATGATCTAATATTGCCAGTGGGGTGGTAAAGTCTCCTGCTATTATTGAGTGTCAGACTAAGTCTCTTTGAAGGTGTCTGAGAACTTGCTTTATGAATCTGGATGTTTCTGTGTTTGGTGCATAAATATTTAGGATAGTTAGATCTTCTTGTTCAATTGAACCCTTTACCAATATGTGTAATGCCCTTCTTTGTCTTTTTTGGTCTTTGTTGGTTTAAAGCCTGTTTCATCTAAAACTAATAAGATTGCAGCCCCTGCTTTTTTGCTTTCCATTTGCTTGGTAGATTTTTCTCCAACCTGTTATTTTGCCTATGTGTGTCATTGCTTGTGAGATGGGTCTCTTGAAGACAGCATACCAATGGATCTTAGTTCTTTATCCAACTTGCCACGCTGTGTCTTGGGACATTTGGCCTATTTACATTCAAGGTTAGTATTTCTATGTGTAGATTTGATCCTGTCATCATGATGTTAGATGGTTATTTTGCTGACTTATTTATGTGGTTGCTTTATAGTGACACTGGTCTGTGTACTTCAATGTGTGTTTGTAGAAGCTGGTAACGGTCTTTCCTTTCCTTATTTAGTGCTTTCTTCAGGAGGTCTTGCACTACAGGTCTAGTGGTAATGAATTTCCTCACCATTTGCTTATTTTTCCTTTACTTACAAAGTTTAATTTGGCTAGAAATGAAATTCTGGGTTGGAATTTATTTTCTATAAGAATGTTGAATATTGGCCTCCAGTCTCTTCTGGGTTGTAGAGTTTCTGCTGAGAAGTCTGCTGTTAGTCTGATGGGCTTTCCTTTGTAAGTGACCTGACCTTTCTCTCTAGTTGCCTTTAATATTTTTTCTTTCATTTTGACCTTGGATAATTTGATGATTCTGTGTCTTGGAGGTGATCTTCTTAATGGCGTATCTTACTGGGGTTCTCTGCATTTCCCAAATTTGAGTGTTGGCCTCTCTATCTAGGTTGGGGAAGTTCTCATGGATGATATCCTGAAATATGTTTTCCAAATTGGTTCCATTCTTCTCATCTCTTTCAGGGACACCAATTAAATGTAGATTGGGGCTCTTTACATAATTCTGTATTTCTCAGAGGTTTTGCGCGTTCCTTTTTATTATTTTTTTATCTATTCTTGTCTGACTGTCTTATTTCAGAAAACCTGTCTTCAGGCTCTGAGATTCTTTCCTCTGATTGGTCTGTTCTGCTATTAACACTTGTGATTGCATTATGAAATTCTAGTAGTATGGTTTTTCAGCTCTACCAGGTTGGTTATGTTCTTTTCTGTATTGACCATTTTGTCTGTCAGCTCCTTCATTGTTTTATTATTATTTTTGGCTTTCGTGATGTGGGTTTCAATGCACTCCTGTAGCTCAATGAACTTCATTCCTATTCATATTCTGAATTCTATTTGTGTCATTTCAGCCATGTCAGCCTGGTTTAGACCCTTTCTGGAGGGGTGTTGTGGTTGTTTGAAGGAAAGAAGGCATCTGGGTTTTTGAATTATCAGGTTTATCATGTGGATTCTTTCTTATCTTTGTTGATTTCTCTACTGTCAATCATTGAGATTGCTGACCTTTGGATAAATTTGTTTCTTTTATCTTATTTGATGACCTTGAGGGTTTTATTGTGGTATAAGGTGGATTCAGCTGAGTGGCTTTATTTCTAGAAGATTTTAGGGGGTCAGTATTCAGCTCCCAGTTTCTGGACTGGATGCTCTAACTCTCAGGGACTTGTATTGGGCCTTGACTTTGTTTTCTGGCTCCTCTAGGTTAAGAATACACTGCAATGGGGGAGCCAAGGTGATCCCAAACCTCTGGTCACTGCACTCCAATGGATGGTGTTAGCCCAAGAATTTCATAATGTGGTGATAATGGGACCTTAACTTGTTCATGCATGCCAACAGCAGCGGAAGACCTGTGGCAGGGTGCTAGCAGGTGTCAGGGTGCCTGCCTCCCTGCAGGTGTTTGCCACAATGGCAGAGGCAACACAGCTGGGGGAGAGGGTCCCTGCTGATGACTGTGTGTGTGGTCATGCTGAAGATTGTGCCTTCTCTGTGCCTCACAAGCAGAGGAGGTTGCTCCTAGAGGGACAAAGATCCACTGTACTCTATGCCATGCTAGCACAAGGGCAAGTTGCTGGTCGGGGTGGGGCTGGCTGGCTCTATGCCCATCAATACTCCATCTACAGTGGTGGTCAGTGGGAAGAGGAGGGGCAGGACTGCACTCCCATGCTCTGGCAGGGCAAGGAAAGCAAAACCTGCCTGATCAGACACTCACCAGCAAAGTGATGTGGGGAGTTGCCTTGGGCCCAGGGGAAGCTGTGGTGTAGAGAGGGAGCATGTGGGCTGGTGCATGGTGATAGGGGTACCCTGCTGGTGCTCTCCACTGGTCAGGCATGGTCTGCCAGTGCAGAAGCTATGGTGTGGGCCCCCAGGGCCCCCGAGACTGCTCAGCAAGCAGGTGTGACCAGGCTGGGGCCCCAGGAGAGTCCAGCAGAGCAAGGGGTCCTCAAGTTGGACTGGCCCCGTTTGATGGGCAAGACTACCCTGCAGAGTTCAGGTCTGATGATTTCCCGAGGGCTAAAGTCTCCTATGGGACTTATTTGAGCCTAGGGAAATGGCTGTCCCTGGCCATGCTCCACTATAGATGCTTCCACACCCAACCCTCTGGGTTCCACATCAACTGGCTTGCCACCCCTACCACTTCTCTAAGCAGCTCTCCCTGACAACTCACTGAGTGTCGGTGGTGGTCAAGGGGATTTCTCCTGCCGGGGTTCCAGAGGACTATGATGAGATTGGGTTGCTCTTTGCCACTTCAATTCACCCATTCCTCAAGAGCCTTTGGGGGCCAAGAACAAGCCTTGGTACTTAGGAGCCCCATGCAGGGTTCCCAGTTACTTCCCTCCGCCCCGTTTCTGCATCTTTCCTCCATCTACTCTCAGCGTCTTCCCTTTGAAGATCTGTTAGGAGCATGTCAGTCATCTCTCTTCCTCAGTGGGAGCTGTTCCACCTGGCTGCATCTAGTCGGCCATCTTGGCTGATCCTGATTTGAAGGATTTTTCTGATGGAGTTGAATGATCACCCGTCTCAGCAGCTCACTCTTCACTTTCAACCCAGGGCCAACCTGATCCATAGTCCCATGGCAGAGGCACCAGAGACTCCTTCCAAGTCTCCTGGACCAACACTAACTCATGGAACTGGTCTCTGATCCTCCAAAACCGTTTAGGTTCATGACATTGGCAATTTATGAGTTGGCAATTAGGGAGTATGGGAACTCTGAGACACTAGTCCAAGGGAAAAGATGACCATAAAAAGCTGTAAGGCAGAAAGGTCATTGGTTACCTTGTTTTGTTTTCCAAGGCCAGATGTGAGGAGAATGTGGACCTGTTCAGAGAGGTTATCTACACACTCCTGGGACTCATGATGAACCTGTGTCTTCAGGCTCCCTTTGTCTCTGAGGTATGGCGTTCTTGTCTCCCTGTCTGGAAGCCTGGGACAACCTGTACACATTCTGTGGCATAAAACCATTCTCGTGTTCACGAAGAGACAGAAGCATGTACACTCACACGCTGGCCGTGGAATGGGAAAAGGCTGGAGGGATGCACTCTCCCTTTGCTCTGCTGAGGGGTGGATGCATCACTCAGTCATGTATTCACTCAGAAAACAGACTGGGTATCCAAGGTGTGCTGAGCAGAGTATGAGGTGCTGTGTTTACAAAGTCAAGTGAAAGGTGGTTCTTGCTATCAGGGTAATACCCTGGAGTTAGGGGAGACAGACATGGGGAGGAATAAGAGCAGTAAAAGATGGTGTTGTGAGGGAACCTGGGCACAGTGCCGTGGTGCTAAAAAGGAGAGGGTGCTCAGAAGAAGCTCCGCTGAGTATTCAGATTGTCAGAAAATTAAAATCTCCTGCTGGCCTCTCCCCATTGTTGTAGGTTTGGGCTGTGGAGGTGAGCAGAAGGTGCCTGTCTTTACTAAACAGCCAGGATGGAGGAATCCTGACAGTAAGTTTCTCCCAGGGAAATCCAGAAGCAACTTTCACTGTTCTTGTTTTGTTTTGTTACCAGTGTAATCTTTTTCAAGTTGCCACCTTTGAGAATCTGCTGAGTCTCTGAGATACGGTATGGATATACTATTCGAATAATGCACACAAGCACATAAACACCAAGTTTTGTCTGCAGTTTCAGGGATTTGGCGACCTCCTTGCCATGTCCGTCATCTGTGGATCCCCTAGAGTCCAGGAACCCAACTTAAGAATCCCCCTTCCATTTGGTCTGAAATTTAACCAGCTTAGAGGATATAATCGATCTGATTTGTCCTATTTCAAAATATCCTGTGCAAATTGGACAGATCAAGTGTCCAACTTATTTAGAATCCCTTTTTTCCATAGGAAAAAATAAAAAGCCAGGCCCGTATTTTAAGCCAGTGATCCTAGAGGTTGTTTGTGCATAATAGTTTTAGCCTCTTTTTAAAATATATGCTGAAATGGCTTTCTCAATTCTGTGTCTGACATTTGAATAAGGAAACTGAGAAAGCCCTATATGTCGGCACAGTGCATCAGGAAAAGAATATTAGTATGATTCAAGAGGCTGTTTGCCATCACCCTAGAAAGTGTTCTTCACTCACGTTAAGTGATCACCCCTGTTTTTCTCCCTGTCAGGGCAGGGCCCTAATGCCTAGAGAAGCAATCAGGGCCACATCTAGGGTGGATCTGGGAAACCAGCCTTTCAAGGGTTGCAGACTGAGGACTGGCTCCACAGTTTAAAAAAGGTTCTGAGTAGATCCAACATACCCTGTTTGGGGGTAGCACTCTCTAAACGTCCCCAAAGTCAATTCAGACAGGATAGGGTGAAGGTTTTGTGCGTGTGCATTTTCATGGATGGGGCATCATAGCTTTCATCAGATCCTCAAAAGAGGTCCCTGACCCCCAAAGTGGTAAGCACCACCGTTCTCAGATGGTCCAGACCTAAAGATAGGCCTACACTAATCCCTGAGTGTAGGGATTTAGGAGAGCTCTTGGGCCAGATTTCTCCAGCATTCTGTGTGTGCCACATTGGGTGCTTCCCAGCTTGCTGGGCAGCAGCTTCACCATGGGCATCTGGTCCTAGTCTAGCACAGTCTCCACTGTCCTGGGCCTGAAAGGGGATCTGTGGTGTCAACTGTAGCAAAATTCTAGGATCTTTAGGAAGCAGATTAGGGAAGCAAGATTGATAATACACAAGTTTATCTTTTCTCCCTCTGGAGTCCTCATTAAAATGAGATTAAAGCCATTGAGGGGAACAAAAAAAGTAAAGACCTACATTGACGGTGAACAGGCAATGGTTACCAATAGGTAAGTAATTTTAACAAGTTTCCTGAAGATGGAGAGCAGCTGCTAGGGTGGTAATTAATGAGGCAGGGCTGAGGACACCTTCGTATAGAGTACAGACGGAGGAACACATAGCTGGTCAGTAGCAGATTTGCCTTATAATGAAAGGATCAAGATTTCAGAACTCCTGATACAACAGAGAGCAGAGGTACAGGCAGTGGAGCTGCGTTTGCTGGCAGGCATCTGTCCTCCAGGCATAAAATCAGAACACTTTCATCTTTAAAGAACTGAAACTGGAGAAAACATTTTTCTTTCTGGTATATGAGAGTGCCACCTCTCTACCTTTCCATACTTCCCATAAACATAGCATACCCAAACATATTTTATTGCTTTTTTCGTACATGTGATTGGGCAGGTAAGAGTCAACCAGACATTGCAGGAAAGCCACACACATAAATAGGAAAACCAAGATAAACATAAAAATTGATCCAAAAGAAATAGAGATGATACAGGAAACAGAAGAAAAAAATAGTAACTATCATTTGTATCCTGAGAAAGATTAAAGATAGTTATATCCATAAAAGAGTAACAGCTTGCCATTTATTTAAAAAAAAAAAAAAGAGAAGAGCTGGGAAATAAAGTAAATGAACTATCCCAGAAACTAGAACAAAAGACAGAGGAAAAGATAAAGATAAATGACACAGAAGACCAATCCAGGAAATCAAACATCCCCTAATAAAGGGCCTGCTGATATCAGAGCTCTGAGAGGAATCGCAAGGGAGAACTTCCTTTCTCAGAGTTGAACTGGTTGATCCTGTGTGAAGCTGAAATAATGTGGGCCTCTGGGTGGCAAGGGGCTATGGCTGCAGCTCCGTGACAGTTTTATTAAAAAGAACAGTGCTTGCTATTATTTGGCCATCCTATTTTTTATATTTTGCTTCCAATGTTAATGATTGATTTTGCCTCACCAAACTTCCTGTTAACTTTTAAAGGTTGTCAGCATTTCTGAAAAGGACATTTAATTATCCTCTTTCTGCTGTATTCAGAGAGCTGCTGGTGTTCTGAGCCGGACCCTTTCTTCCTCTCTGAAAATTGTTGAGGAGGCCTTGCAAGCAGGAGTGGTAAAGAAAATGATGAAATTCCTGAAGGTAAGATCACTTTATTGGTTACAACCCTGAAATGTACAGAAGTCTCCTATTTTATTCGGGGAACAGAATTAAGGCGGGTTTTGTTTGGTTAATGTGCTGCCATTTCTTCCTTGCTAGATTTTAAACTTCTTGGGTAGGGATTTGCTTCTGCCTGTCTACCCAGACCATACTCTGAACATCAATAACAGATCATTCAATAAAAAAAATTGTTCATTAGATACATCTGTAACACTTGGGAAAGGCTGAGCCAGGCGATCATGAGTCGGAGAATCAGAACCATCCTGGCTAACATGGTGAAACGCCGTCTCATACTAACAAAAACCAAAAAAATTCCCAGGCGTGGGTGGGAGAACACTGTGGTCCGACAACTACTGGGAGGCTGAGGCAGGAGAATGGACATGAACCACGGGAGGCAGAGCCTGCAGTGAGCTGGGATCGGCCCCTGCACTCTGTGCGAACAGAAAGCAAGACTCATCTCAAAAAAAAAAAAAAAAAAAAGACTGCTTACCCCTCAGCCTGACTTTAAATATATGTATGGCCTCTGTTCTTGATAAAAATGATCTGAGTGGGTTTCAGGCACATTGTTTTGCTCAGTTTGCTACTCATCTATGAGACATGTAGGCCTGGCAGAATTACCATAGTGAACCAAAGGATTGGGATTGATCCCTGTGAAAAAATGAGTGCGGTGAATCTAAGCAAGCGCGGTAGAGTAGCCTATTGTGATTCACCTGCAAGGGTGAAGGAGATTATTATATTAGGTTGCCATCTCAGAATCCCACCTATGAGTGTGTGCCCATGAGGCCACACACCCATGTTGGTGTGGTGACACAGGCTTTTATATCATAAGCCTCAAGGCTAGTGGCGCCAGGGAAGCATGCTCTGTGGGCTACTGCTGGGGCAGGGGTAACACCGAGGGGGCAGCACAGGGGGTCTTAAGTTTAGGCTGCTACTTGAACAATGACTGTCATTCATTATGACTTTCGCAAACCCACCAAAAGCTCCTGATGGCATGCATACCTATGCATCATGCATGCATACATGCACACATGCCTTTTAAAGACCCCACATGGGAGATTGCAAGGGCGGTGTTTGACAGTTGTCGCCTCTTAAAATGATCTAGGTTCCTGAGGTTCCTCATGCAGGACTGTCCGCCTAACAGCCTTGGCAAGTCAGTCCTCATTCTCAAATGGGAAAACGATATGGGAGGGCCTTTTCCTCCCTTTTTGGTAGGTCTGCCATTCATCAGCATCATTCTCTTCTCAGCCACTTGCTCATAAAGCCTTCTGGAGGCAATTACTCAGGTGTACATGACAGGCCTACATTCCTGTCAGGGGTGTGGGCTGGGTTAGAGAGGATGCGGGTGACACTCTGTTCCAGCAGGGACCATGCCTGCTCACCGGGAAGCATAATGCCGTTCTCCATAGAATTCTCTTTTCAGAGTTTAGGAAGCCACTAGCACTATAATAACTGCTCGCTGTGGTTTGTGGCCAAGAGCAATCATAGCACTGATTATATTTTTCTGATTTCATTCTGAAATCTAGACAGGAGGCGAGACTGCATCACGTTATGCTGTAAAGATACTAGCTATCTGCACGAATAGTTACCACGAAGCTCGGGAAGAAGTAATAAGACTGGATAAAAGTAAGTGATGATTTCCTTAAGGGAGCCCTCATCCCAGAGGTTCATCCACCCTTGAAGCTGCAAAGGGAACTGTGGTCGAGGAGGAACTTAGCAGCAATGCTGTTAACCTCTCCCAGGCTTCAGCAATGTTTATGGAAGATGTTTCACGTCAGATCTGAAAGCATTTAATTAGCCTTTTGGTTGCACACAGGTAGGATACCCAGACTGGAGACCCAGCTGACAGACAGCTCAAAGATAACAGGGGCAAAGCTAGGAAACTCCCTCCTCTCAGCAAGTTCAGTTCTCTGCCTTCACAGAAGGAGGGGGGAAAACACCTTCAACATTTAGTGAACAAGGGAAATACCAGAGTCTGAGCCCAGCTTTAGTCCAGTAACTTAAACCGGCTGTAGTTATTCACAGCAGGCTTCCCAGGAGAGGCAGCCTGCTAATGTTCTTCTTACCACCTCCCTGGAGTGCGCGGAAGGTGAACTAAAGGAGGCTCCACCATGGAAGCTGGAGCCTTTCTCCTAGATCCTGTTTCATACCCTGCAGGTTTGGTTGCCAGCACATTGCCTCCCACCTGGGGGCTGTCAGATGGGACCTCTCACCCTGGTGCAGTGAGAGGTTAAGAACAGGGGCTTTCAGGAGGACAGACCTGTTTGACACATAGCATTCATTCATCTAACAACTGTGTTGTGCTGGACACTGTTCTGGGAAGCCGAGATACTTCAGAGATTCAGCAAGGAGTTGAGGAGGTTCATATGCATTCAGTGAATGTTTGCTGATGAGTGAGTGAACAAGTTCTGCTGCAGAGTTATTGGGGAAGCTCGGTGTCCACTGACACCTCCCTGCGCCCCTCATGTCCTATTGCCAGCCTCCTATTGGGGGATTAAAAGGAGCTGTTGCTTGTTCTCTTCCTTCCCTGCAGAGTTGAGCATGATGATGAAGCTGCTCAGCTCGGAGGATGAGGTTCTGGTGGGCAACGCTGCCCTCTGCCTTGGTAACTGCATGGAGGTGCCCAACGTTGCATCTTCCCTGCTAAAGACAGACCTCCTGCAGGTCTTGTTAAGGCTCGCAGGCAGTGACACACAGAAGACGGCCGTGCAGGTGAACGCAGGCATTGCTCTGGGGAAGCTGTGCACAGCTGAGCCCAGGTATGCTGTGGACACGGAGCCAGGCTGACCCAGCGTCGGTCCCATTGCAGAAAGCAGCTGAGCTGAGGCGCTGACTTTTGGCTGGGACTGCGTGCCTCACAGGATGCTGTGGGAAGCCCTCATGCTTTCTGTGCAGACCTAGGTTAAGCCCAATAGCTGCTTCTCTGAAGAAAGCCTTTCTAGAGGAAACGGGAGCTCTTGGGCTCCAACCAGAGAGGGAATCAGCTTGTCTGATGGGGACTTGCTGCTCACACTTGCTGCCGTTGCCTTCTCTCCATTCCATTTTCCGCTGTTCTGCATCCCTCTCCCTGTCTCTTTATCCTCCTTCTCCCCCACCCCACTCCACCTCCCCTTCTCTTCCCTCTTTTCTCTCTTCTCTACTTTTCCAGAAACAGACCCCCACTTCATGTTCTTTGTCTCAGCCTAAACAAATGGAGGAATGGCCAGTGAGGGTCACATGTTCACGCAGGAGGAAACAGTGGAGAAGCAGAGACGCAGAACAGCACGTCGAGGCCCCCAGTGAGCGAGGGCAAGAGATGTGGGCTGTAACTGTGCCCATGGCTTCTCTGTTAAGCTCAGACCTCCACTCTGCTCTGCTCCTGTTCTGATGTGCAGATGCACCTCGTTGCACGTGCTTCTGGGGGGTGTCCACCTGTGGCTGAGCGAAGGAGCCCTGGCACAGGGCAGGGGTAACCCCAGGAACTGAGTGAGAGAGGCTCCTTCCCTTACATCCCCATGCCTTTAATTCCTCCTCTGTAGATTGAGGGGGTTGGCCTCGATAATATCTAAGGTCCTTTCAAGTTCTGTCTGGTTGTTCAAATGGAAGGAATAGTTAAAATCTTTCTTCTATAGAAAGCAAGCACATTAGCTAGGATGACTTCAAAGTGGCAACCTATGGGGGAGTTCTCGAGAGCAAGTTCCCGTCTGATCAGCCTGACACACCTGCCACCTGCAGCAAGTGTTTTCAGTGCTTTGTGGGCCTCCCTGAGGGTCTGTCTTACCCCTGTGATCTTTAGGGTACCCCAGTGCCACAGCCACTTCCTGTTTCCACCCAGTGATAGGACTGACGTTCTCAGCCAGTTTCCATCTGAGAGGGTGTTGGCTCTGGGCTCCAGAAGCCTGAACCGTGGCACTTATGTCCTGGGTTGTTTGTTTTGATTGTGACAGGTTTGCTGCTCAACTGAGAAAGCTTCATGGCCTAGAAATTCTCAACTCTACAATGAAATACATCAGTGATTCTTGAGAGATACGGTGTCTGTGTGCATTTAGGGAACACACAAATGCACACTACGGGTTGTTCCTATGCTAATAAAGACCTTTGATATATCCACTTCAGAATCAAATATTCATTGTCAGAGTGTTTGCATGTCGGGTTTTCATGGATAACAAGAGAGTGGGCCTTAGGCTGGCTGCTATGGTGGACTCTGTGTACTGGCTTACTCAACTTCCATTGTACCCTCCTTTGAATGTTCCTTCCTGTTCTGTAGAAGATAGAAACCATCTCACAAAAAGCCACATTGCCCAGACTCCCGGGTAGCAACAATTCAGATGGGAACTTGTGGCCAATCTAATGCCGCTTCCTACCCCTTTTGCTATTTTCTGCTGGCAATATGCTGGAAACATCAGATTTGTTGGTAGCAGGATTTCAGCATCCATTTTCCAGCTGTGGAGTGCTGAGAGAGAGTTGCATTGGCATCATTGGTGGCCTGCAGCAGACTCCTGGCCTGCAGCCACTGCGTGTGCTCTTAAATTCAGTGGGGTGAGTGGTAGGTGGTGTCTCCCCTGTTGGGAAAGCTCTGTGTGAATCCTTCTGGCAATCATTCCTGGGAGTCCTTCCTGGCACCCTCCTCCAGCCCATGTGGTGGTGCTATAGGCACCCTGTTCCATGGGTTAGATTGTTCTCTGCTTAAGGTGCCAAAGCACAGGCTTCTCTTTCTGCAGTGAACCCTGACTGATGCGAATGTGTTCATTTCCCTAACCCACCTTGTACTCTCACCCCATCCCCAGAGGCAATGCTCCCTTCCAGTTGCCCCCGGGTCGCTGTAAACCAGGGTCACCTGTGGACTGCAGGTCCCTAAGTGAGAAGTCCAATAAGTGGCACTACTCTCTGGCTCCTCCTTACAATCACATAATCATTTTAGAATAGGAGGCAGGTACAGTGAATGTCAGGAGTCCCAGACCAAAGTTCCAAAGACTTTTGGTCCTACCCTGCTACCTGCCAGCCGTGTGACTTCGGGCAAGTTGCTTAACCTCTCTGAGCTGTGGCTACTGCTTCTGGAAACACGAATACCTGCCCAACCTACCTCCTCCATTGTTGTAAAGGTTAAATGAAGTTTTGGAGGTGAAGGCACTTTGGGAATTATAAAGCGCTACGCAAATATAAGAGATTACCAGACTCTATCTTGAGATTGAAGGTATCAACTATGACGTCAGTTGGGTTAAGTTTGAAGGGTCTGGGAAAGGGAGAAGCTCATGTCCTTTAAGGAATCAAAGTTGGCCATTCTCTGAAGCATGTAGGAAAGGAAATCTTCCTCCTCCAGGGAGATTTTATTCAACACACCCAAAGAAAGTGTTCTTCACAGGTAAGGCAACTGTTGGCTTAAATTAAGAACTTTGTTTCTGAAACCAATATAAATAATTGGCATTTGGTGGCAGGGGGGCGGGCAGTGGAAGAGAATCAATGGCCTGAGCCCCTCACTCAGATTGATGTACTGCATATGGCTGGAGGGAGCTCACTGGGGCACTCTGTGGTGACGCCCTGGGTGGCAAGCAAGTGACAGGCCACTGTAGAGAAGCCAGGACCTGCCCATCAGTCCTATCATGCAAACAAACACCCTTTAAGAGGCTACTGGATTGCAAAGGGAGAACAGCTTGATGCTAATCAGAGCACAAAGAAGAAAATTAGAGGGTGCAGAAGTTGCTGTTTTCACAGAGAATTCCGTGGAGCTTTGAAAACTGAAAGGCTGTTTGTGTTCATAACCACCAGGCCTGTCTCCTTTGAAGTTCAGGCCCCTCCTTCCCCTGCTCTGGCTGCACTCCTTGGCTCTTGAAAATGGCTATTATAGGTGTGTTCTCTTCCCCAAAGAGTGGGGAATGTCAAATTATGTTATTATGATTATTGCTCCAGAGTGCCTGCCAAGAGCAGTCATCTCCAATTTGGAGGAGAGTCTGCTGCACCTGAAGCTGTCTCTCCTCACAGGCGGGAAGAGATGTTTCACGTGCTAGTGTTCTCCCTCCCCCGTGTGGATCCACCCCCGCCACTGCCCCAACCTTGTTACCCCTAACACATGCTGCCATGCAAACCTTCCAGGCAGCATGGAAAATACCAACGCCATCTTTAAGAAGGCCTCATCTCTACTTGCCAGGAGCCCCGATACCACCCTTGGAGACACAGCTTGTTCCGGATAATCAGAGTCTTCTGGTTCAACAAGCAGAGGAGCTGGGATTTTCCATCCTAAAGAGGATGTGGCTGGGATGGAACTCCATCACCATCCTGAAGCCACAGCAGAGGTGACAGGTAACAGACAGTCCAGAGCTGCTCACTGTCTTCATAGATGACGTGAGGATGGCGGTTCCAGTGCACCGCAAGGTGGGACTGAGGTTCAGAGTTGAGGGGAAACAATAGGAAGGGGCTGCTATTGTAAGCACTTTCTTGAGGATTTGTTCAAATAAGAGTTTCTTGGCTTGGATAACTGAGGGAAAGAGTACAACTAAGAAGTATCAGGTTGGTGCAAAACTAATTGTAGTTTTTGCCATTAAAAGCAATGACAAAAACCGCAATTTATTTTGCGCTAACCTAATATTCTGAGGCCAGAAGACATTTAATCCCACATGGCTTTTTTTTTTTTAAGTAAGAGGTCTCATTTTCTAAATAACTTGAAAATAGAGGCTCTCCAAGGGTTCCATTAAAGGAGAGAATAATCAGAGGTGAAGAAAACCCATTTAGAACTGACTCCTTTTCCCATGGAATGAGCTTTTCGTCCTCACAGACTGGCATCCTGCAGACACGCAGAGAGAATAAATCCTGCCTGTGCATTGTTTGTTTGTTTGTTTGTTTGTTTGTTTTGAAACAGTCTCACTCTGTGGGCCAGGCTGGAGTGCAGTGGTGGGATCTCGGCTGACTATAACCTCTGCCTCCCAGGTTCAAGCGATTCTTCTGTCTCAGCTTCCTGTAGCTGGGATTACAGGCATGTGCCTGTATCCCAAATTTTCATATTTTTAGTAGATACGGGGTTTCACCATGTTGGCCAGGCTGGTCTCGAACTCCTGACCTCAAGCGATCCACCTGCCTCAGCCTCCCAAAGTGCTGGGTTTATAGGAGTGAGCCACCACGCCCAGCTCCCCCGTGCATTGTGCCTTTGCTCTGCACTAGGCACCCTATCAAAACTTGAAGATCCTGCCCCAACGTAAGCCTCATAACGACTGTGAGGCAGGTATTATCTCCACTCTACAGGTAAATAAACTAAGATATAAAGAGAATAGTACTTTCCCACCCAGGATCACATAGCCAGTAAGCAGGGCAGTCAGAATTTGACCCCAAGCTGTGTTCTTAACTCTTCCTGCATGTAAAGCGTTCCTCTCCGTACTAAGTGTGACCTGCAGAAAAGTCACCACATTTCTCTGAGCCTCAGTTTCCTCTCTATAAAATGGAACATCAACACCTACCTCTTCTGTGGTTTGGATATAATATACATGAAGTACCTAGCATAGGTGACTGACAGATAGAAAGTGTTTCCTTAATGGCGACTCTTTTTGAGACTGGAAATGACCATGAACCCATTATCTGCCCCCTCCCACCCTCATGGATCTGCTCATCTTCCTTGGTCCTCCGTCTCACTGAAGGCAAGTATGTATTTGGCTCTGTTTACCCCAAGAGTCAGCTGCCAGCCAGCAGCCTGCCTTCTTACATGATCCCATGGCAGCAGGGCCTGAGAGCACTGGTCTTGGGTGGGATGGGGTTATGAGCACACTCAGGGCTCAGGGATAGGGTAGCAGCGCTCCTTGTCAGGGCCTGGGGCCGGGGGTGCATGGGCATCAACAGGACCCAGTGTGAAGTGGAAGGTGCTAGGATCAATGCTCTGAAGTCCTCTTTGCAAACAGATACTACTCTGTTACTTGCAGTTTGTCCTCAGTTTATAATCAGGAAAACCTGTTGATTGCAACGACTATAGCTCCAATCATATATTCATCAGGATGTCATTAGCTCTTTTCTCCTAAAGCCCCAGAGCTGCGTGCACCTACCCTCCCTGATGCCCTAGAAAGAGGAGTGCTAGCCCAGCGGGACATCCAGTTGCCCACCACCTCCTCCAGCAGCTCCTGGCCCTGTGGGTGGCCACATGCCAGCCAAGCACTGGGCTTCTGTGACCTGAAGCTGCTGGATGACTTCTTTCCTTTTAACAAGACTTCTAATTTGATCTCTATTTCAAAAAGGCAAAATGATGAATGAGTTCTCCCTGGAGACATTCTGCCCTGTGATCTGATTTTGCCCAGGGGCTGGATCAGGCTTTCCTGGCTGCTCTGAGGCTCAGCCCTGGCTTAGGTGGGAGGGAGCCTTAGGGTGCTGGCAAAGCAGGGAACAGTGGGCTGCCAATCACCTCTGCCAGCCACCCCAGCCTCAGATCCCCCCAGTTCTGGAGCAGGGCTCCTGTCACCAGGGAGGCTGGAAGGAGCTGCTTTAAATGAGGGTGGCTGCCTGCCAGATGTGCCAATTCAGCTCAGCCTGAGCATCACTCCATTATCACAGCTGTCCCCAACTTTACATTTGGGCTTCTTCAGTAGCTCTGGATGCTCATTTAGATCCCTCAACTCCCCTCGGCCGACAAGCACACACATACACAGCCCCACACACACAAGGAGTTCATCTCGCTGCTGCTGAGAGATGAATTTGCACATTAAAATAGATGAGTTAGTGTGCAAGGTGATTTAGACTAGATCAAAGGCACAGCAAGATAGTGAGAATTATTGGAACAAGAGGCTGAAGAAAAGGCTCCTAGAATGTCCAAGCTGAAAATTATTCAGGGATCCTCTAATCCTCTGCAGTCATCCCTTTGTATCCACCAGGGATTGATACCACAGATACCAAAACCCTGGGATGCTCAGGTCCCTTATATGAAATGCATCGTATTTGCATATAACCTACGTACATCCTCTCATACACTTTAAATCATCTCTAGATAGCTTATAATACCTAATACAATGTAAATGCTATGTAAATAGTGGATATACTGTATTTCTTAAAATTTGTATTTTTTTTTATTGTTGGAGTGTTATTTTTAGTTTTTTTCCCCAAATATTTTCACCCTGCAGTTGGTTGAATCTGCAAATTTGGAACCTGA